TTGGGATCTCTTCCAACTCTAAGAGTCTATGATTATTGAGATATGAACAATTTACTTATCCGAACGTATCTCTCTACGTTCCACCTCGTAATTTAAGATCTACTGGGGAGTCCCTGCTCTTGGTCCCACCAGCGTCTCAAACACATCTGGTGGGAACGAGGGACAGGGCCTTCTCGGTGGCGACCCCCCGATTATGGAATTCGCTCCCCAGTGAGATTAGATCGGCGTCCTCCCTCCTTACTTTTAGGAAAAAAACTAAAGACGTGGTTTTGGAGCCAGGCCTTTGGCTAGTGGGCACAACAGCACTTTAGGCACTGAACTCGGACAATGGGATTGTTTGAAAATTGGAAATGACTTTATGACCTGTTATTCTGTGATCTGTTCTATGTGTTTATGTAATTTTAATTAATATCACTGCTTAATTGTTATGTAATAGGTTTTATATTGCTGTTTTATATTGTTATTTTGATACTGTTGGCATTGAATAGTTGCCTGTGTTAGCCGCCCTGAGTCCCCCCTTGGAGGTGAGAAGGGCGGGGTAGAAATGGTCTAAATAAATAAATAAATAAATAAATAAATAAATAATTCCAGGTCCCCACTTTTCTTTATTTATCATTTGTGTGTGTAGATACTGCAAGTTTGTCTATATGTCGATAAGTATGCTGCTAACATCTGTACAGACTGCAAAACTTGGGAAAAGTCCTTTTTGGACTAAAACTCCTAACATCTCCCAAGCAGCATGGATACTATTTTGGCATGTGGATTCTGAGAGCTGTAATAGCAAAAAAAAAAAAAAGTCATTTTCATAAGCTCTGGCTAGAATAGTGCATAACAGATGCTGTCTATAAGAAATTTGACATTTGATTCCCTCTATTTTATTAAGGTGTCTTCTCACTTCCCAGACAGCCAGACAGATAAAACTCTCTGCCAAGAAATTTGATTATTACTGGTAGCAATTCTGGGGGAATTATAAGGTGTTTAAAAGCAATTCATTGAGGACTTGTTGGTGCTTGAGTTAGGGCCGGATGTACATCTACTCCAGGCTCCATCAAAATGATCCTCTGCTGGTCAGACTCCTTCAGCATACAGGCACCCCCCTTTTCCCTTCCAGCGCTAAATGGTTTAACCAGTTAATGAGAGCAATTGAAGTTAATTAGTTGAATATTTCAGTAAAAAACAGAACAGGCACTTGTAAACCAGTTTAGCTTGCCACTCATGTTAAAGAATGTCTAATGATTTGGCAGGTGAAGGAAGGCGCCTTCGGAGTCAAGTAAGTATGTATGCATAAAATGTAGATCAGGTTGGTTGCTGGAGGAATGAGCAGGATTCCAACTTCACTTGAAGTTTGTTGAATCCTGGTTTTAGCCCAAATTTTGCAGGATGCTTGAAACTGCTGAACTTATAGCCAGTCCTGATTTGGTAGGACTCCCAAATGTCAAGTTCTCTGTTCTTCTTTTTTTTGTCGTGTCAGGAGTGACTCCTGGTGTGAGAGAATTGGCCATCTGCAAGGACGTTGCCCAGGGGACGCCTGGATGATTTTGATGTTTTTATCATCCTTGTGGTAGGCTTCTCTCATGTCCCCACATGAGGAGCTGGAGTTGATAGAGGGAGCTCATCCGCCTCTCCCCGGCTTCGAACCTGCGACCTGTCCTGCCGGCACAAGGGTTTAACCCACTGCGCCACCGGGGGCTCCAAGTTCTCTGTCATCCTCTGTCATCCATCTTCTCCAAATGCTTAAAAATGTCCAAGTTTCTCTCTCCTTCTACCATCATCCTCAGATTATTTTAAACACTGCAAACTAAGTTCAAGGTGCAAAAGGCAAGATGACAAAAAGTGAGTCATTAATTTAATTGGGAAAGGCAGGAAGAGTGGAAGGTTGCTTCTAGAACAGTGTTTATCAACCTTCCTAATGCCGCGACCCCTTAATGCAGTTCCTCATGTTGTGCTGACCCCCAGCCATAAAATCATTTTTGTTATTTCATAAGTGTAATTTTGCTACTGTTATAAATCGTAACGTAAATACCTGATATGCAGGATGTATTTTCATTCACTGGACCAAATTTGGCACAAATACCCAATATGCCCAAATTTAAATACTGGTAGGGTTGGGGGGAATGATTATGTCATTTGGGAGTGTAGTTGCTGGGATTTATAGTTCACCTACAATCAAAGAGCATTCTGAACTCCACCAACGATGGAATGGAACCAATCTTGGCACACAGAGCTCCCATGAGCAACAGAAAATACTGGAAGGGTTTGGTGGGCATTGACCTTGAGTTTTGGAGTTGTAGTTTATTTATTTAATAATTTAGGACCTTTATATCCCATCCTATCTCAACCTCCGCAGAGGGAGTCAGGATGATAGTTCACCTACATCCAGAGTGCACTGTGGAATAAAACAATTTTGGACTAAACTTGGCACGAATACTCAATATGCCCAAAATGTAAACATTGGTGGAATTTGGGGAAAGTAGACCTTGACATTTGGGAGTTGTAGTTTCTGGGATTTATAGTTCACCTGCAATCAAAGAGCATTCTGAACCCCACCAATGATAGAATTAGGCCAAACTTCCCACACAAAACCCCCATGACCAAGAAAAAATACTGTGTTTTCTGATGGTCTTTGGTGACCCCTCTGACACCTCCTCACAACCCCCCTCCCCCAGGAGTCCCAACCCCCAGGTTGCAAAGACTGTGGAAGAGATTTGACAGATAAATGCTTTCAGCATTCAAGGCTGTACTGAAGATCTTTCTCTTCTGGCAGGTCTACTCAGTCGTTGTTGTTGCTTTTTCATTTTTGGCATCTTTTGCCATCATGAACACACTCTGATGATGCTTAGCCACAAGCCAGAGCATATGCAAAACCTGTCGCTAAAATACATATATTCATTGCCATGGATAACAACTTTAAAGCACATGCATTCATTCTCCCTGTGCTCTCAAGTTAGAATCCACGAGTCTCAGTCTGCAGGTAAGAAAGCAGCATTCATCCAAGACATTGAAAACTTCTCACCAAAGTTATGCTCAGTTTGCTAAACTATTATGTTTTTTGTACAAGGAACCAGTCCAAATCAACCTGGCCATAATACTGCAGATTTCCCATGTATGGTTTTGAGAGATGAGCAGTGAAGAAAACTGACAGGAAGAAAATCAATTTCCTGTAAATGTGATGCTGGAAGAGACTCCTACAGATACCATAGATTGCCAAGAAGACAAATGAATGCGCCATAGAGGAAATCAAGCCTGAACTCTCACTATAAGTAAAGATGATTAAACTGACATACGTTGGACATAGGATGAGATGACATGGCTCACTGGAAAAAACTAGTTATGTCTGGAGAAGTGGAAAGCAGTAGGAAAGGAGTTCATAGTGTGACCATTGGACTTAGACTTTGGAGACCAGGAATCAGTTCCCTGCCTGGCCATGGAACCCTCCTGATGATCTTGTATGAGTTGCACACGATCCTGCTTCCAGCCATTAATCTGGCACAAGAAGAATGGTGGGTTACTTTTGAACTTATAGGATACTTCAGAGTGAACCCTAGTGTTTTGAAATGCACAGGTATACGATGGACAGCAGTACATGGCCCTTGAGCACTCTAACTGGAGGTCAGCTGTGACTAGCAGTGCTGCAGGATTCTAAGAGGCAGAAATGGAGAGTGAAAAAGAGAAACATGTCAAGAAGAAGACACATCAAGCCAACCTAAACCGGGACTGCTTTCCACCTGTGGGAGAATATGAAGATCAAGAATAGGACTCCACAACCACCTATGGACCTGCCGCCAAGACACTACACTTGGATGATCATCATCCTTGGGCTACAAGGAATCGCCTCAGTAAGTATGTAACATGTGAAAGGGATTTAGGAGTCAGACAACAAGTTTAATATGATTCAACAGTGAAAACAACAACAACAACAATATGTTTCAACAGTGTAATATGGCGGTTTAAAAAGCCAATGCAATTGTAGGTCACATCAACAGCATGACTGTGTAGAGCATGACTGTGTGGAGTGCTGTTACCATCCCACTGGAGCAGTACCTATTGATCTACTCACATTTGCATGTTTTCGAAAAGCTAGGTTGGCACCAGAGCGGTACCTATTAATCTACTCACATTTTCATGTTTTCGAACAACTAGGTTGGCAGAAGCTGGGGCTAACAGCGGGAGCACACCCCACTCCCTGGATTCGAACTGCCAACCTTTTGATCAGCTAGTTCAGCAGCTCGGCGGTTTAATCCACTGTGCCGCCGGGGGCTCCAGGACACAGAGTCGTGGATTCAAATGGCAGGAAAAGAGATTCCACTTAGAATTTCCTAATGGTAAGAATAATAGATTCATAGATTCCTAGAGTTGGAAAACACCCCAAGGGCCACCTAGCCCAACCCCCTGCCTTGCAGGAAAAGCACAATAAAAGTACCCCCAACAGATGGCCACCCAGCCTCTGCCCTGACATATAGCATCTAGCCTTCCACTGATGTTCAGCAGTGGAGTATGTTGCCCCAGTGGGTGGTGGTATCTTCTCTGGAAGTTTTTAAGCAGAGGCTAGATGACCATCTGTCAGGAAAGCTTCAATTGGAGTCCTGGTCCTAAATTATTTATATATTGTGTAGTTCAAAGCCCTGCATTGAATTGTGCCTAGAAACAAATGAGAAGCCAATGAAGCTGGTCCGAGTGAAGAGTTGTATGATTTGCAAACCACATTCTTGACAAAAGTGTATTACAGTAATCTAAAAGCAGCATACAACTTGCAAAGTCTTGCTGTGGTTTTATGCAAAAAAATAATAATAATCCAATAACTTTCTTGTTGGTTATTGATATTTGGAAAGAAATGGTTCTTGCTAAAAGTAATTAAAAGATTAAAATTCTTTATTTTGCTCACTTTACAGTACTGATGTCTGGGCAAGAAATCTTCTATTAAAAAAACCCACACACAGAAAGAAAGAAAGAAAAAACCCTCAAAGGCAGCAGACAAGCCGCTGGCTTCCTTCCTCAGATATCAAGAATGTACTTGGTTCCTTCACATCGTCCCAGACAACTTAAGGGAGAACCATTCAAAGACTCAAGGTTTGTGATTCTTGTTCACAGTTTATATTTAGCATCACATTTTGCTTTGTAAATGGATGTACTAGCATATATATTTATGGTGTCCTGAACTGTTGCCTTTACGGTTTTGTTGTTGCTTTTGTGTGCCTCCAAGTTGTTTCTGACTTAGGGGGACCCTACAGCAAAGCTATCAGGGGGTTATGTTGGTAAGTTTTGTTCAGATATAGTTTGCCGTTGCCTTCCTCTGAGGCTAAGAGAGTGTGACTTGAGCATGTTTCCAACCTGATGAATTTTGACACCTGGTCTCCAAGACTCATCCATCCTTCCTTCCTTCCTTCCTTCCTTCCTTCCTTCCTTCCTTCCTTCCTTCCTTCCTTCCTTCCTTCCTTTCTTCCTTCCTTCCTTCCTTTCTCTCTCTCCCCCCTTCCTTCCTTCCTTCCTTCCTTCCTTTCTCTCTCTCTCCCCTTCCTTCCTTCCTTCCTTCCTTCCTTCCTTCCTTCCTTCCTTCCTTCCTTCCTTCCTTCCTTCTATAAGTTTTGTAAATACTGTGTAAGGAGTGCGTCGAGAGTCACTAAGCACTTTATGGTTGAATCCATAGAAGCAGAATCTGTGAATACAGGACATTTTTGTGTGTGTGTGTCAAGATTGACTTGAGAAACTGCAAGTTGCTTCTGGTGTGAGAGAATTGGCCATCTGCAAGGACGTTGCCCAGGGGACACCTGGATGTTTTACCATCCTGTGGGAAGCTTTTCTTTAATGTCCTTGCATGAGAAGCTGGAGCTGACAAATAGGAGCTCACCCCACTCCCCAAATTCAAACTGCAGACCTTTCGATCAGCAGTCCTGTCGACACAAGGGTTTAACCCATTGTGTCACTGATGGTCTCCTGAGGCATTGATTGCATTTGTCAACCCCTCGGGGGTTGAGAAGGGTGGGGTAGAAGTGCCCAAAATAAATAAACAAATAAATAAATTTATACAGAAGGGAATTCAAACTGGAAACTGGGGTAAAGAGGAAAGAGTATTTAACCCTTTCCAGACCTGATCCAGATTGAACCCTTTAAATCAGATAAATACTATGGGGTGGAAATATGTATTCACCAAATGTATTGTCGAAGGCTTTCATGGCCGGAATCACTGGGTTATTGTAGATTTTTTCGGGCTGTATGGCCATGGTCTAGAGGCATTCTCTCCTGACGTTTCGCCTGCATTTATGGCAAGCATCCTCAGAGGTAGTGAGGTCTGCTGGAACTAGGAAAAGGGGTTTCTATATCTGTGGAATGACCAGGGTGAGACAAAGGACTCTTGTCTGCTGGAGCTAGGTGTGAATGTTTCAACTGACCATGTTGATTAGCATACAATGAGCCAACTGTGCCTGAAGCAAACTTTTGTTGAGAGGTGTTAAGATGTGCCTGGTTGTTTCCTCTCTGTTGTTGTGCTGTTGCAGTTTTAGAGTTTTTTAATACTGGTAGCCAGATTTTGTTCATTTTCATGGTTTCCTCCTTTCTGTTGAAATTGTCCACATGCTTGTGGATTTCAATGGCTTCTCTGTGTAGTCTGACATGGTGGTTGTGAGAGTGGTCCAGCATTTCTGAGTTCTCAAATAAAATGCTGTGTCCAGGTTGGTTCATCAGGTGCTCTGCTATGGCTGACTTCTCTGGTTGAAGTAGTCTGCAGTGCCTTTCATGTTCCTTGATTTGTGTTTGGGCAATGCTGCGTTTGGTGGTCCCTATGTAGACTTGTCCACCAAATTTGTTCACCAAATATTGTTGTATTACTTCACATGTTTAAAACAATGCTATAGGAAGAATTTTCATAACGCTTATCAGAAACATGAAGTACGAATCAGAATGTCAGCTACATAGATTGTAAAAGATTCAGGGCTGATAGCAAGAAGTACATCTTCATACAGTACCTCATTAATCTGTGGAATTCATTGCCACGAGATGTAGTCAATTGTGTGCCACTGTTGACAATGCAAATAAAGGAAATCAAAATGCAGGTTTTTTTTTCATTGTCCAAGTCATTCATGGCTGGAATCACTGGGTTGTTGTAGGTTTTCGGGCTATATAGCCATTTTCTAGAAGCATTCTCTCCTGACATTTCACCTGCATCTATGGCAAGCATCCTCAGAGGATGCTTGCCATAGATGCAGGTGAAACATCAGGAGAAAATGCTTCTAGAACATGACCACATAGCCCAAAAAACCTACAACAATCCAATTTTTGCATCCTTAATCCAAAATTCTGAAATACTCCAGAATCCCAAACTGTCCATATGTATGGCTGAGATAGAGACACTTTTCCTTTCTTATGCTTCAGTGTACACAAATGTTTCATGCATGCAATTATTAAAAAACATTATGCGTAAAATTACCTTCAGGCTAGGTGTGTAAGAAGTATAGGAAATATAAATGAATTTTGAGTTTAGACTTGTATCCCAACTCCAATATATGCAAATGCAGGTATTCCACAATTTGCAAAAAGAATCCGGAACGCTTCTGCTTCTAAACATTTAAGATAAGGGATACTTAACCTGTACTGCATTAATATGGGGCATGCACAAATCTGCTGCTAATAACACAACTATAGCATATAAATGAGGAATCATATGTGTTGTGATAAGAGCCTGTTATGCTAATGCAGTTCTCTGGGGATGGACTGGAACCGATGAATTTAATTCAGCAACACTTTCCCACTCACATTCCTCTTTGAAGTTTCTTTGCCTGGCAACTGTTACTTTAGGATGGAATGCCCTGGGAAGCGGAAGTATTTTCCCACTGGGTTTTAGCCATTACTGATGTAACCTTTTAAAACACAATAAAGCCCTGAACAGTTTCGGCCCAGCTTACCTGTCTGAACATATATCCTCCTATGAACCATCAAAGAGATTAAGATCATCTGGGGAGGCCCTGCTCTTGGTCCTGTCTCTGCCGCAGGCGCATCTGATGGGAAAGAGAAACAGGGCCTTCTCAGTGGTGGCCCTTCATCTGTGGAATTCCATCCCTAGGGATAATAGAGCAGCTCCCTCCCTCCTGGTCTTCAGAAGCAAAGTGGTGGATGCTCTTCTTTGGAGGCTTTTAAACAGAGGCTGGATGGCCATCTGTCGGGGGTGCTTTGAATGCAATTTTCCTGCTTCTTGGCAGGGGGTTGGACTGGATGGCCCATGAGGTCTCTTCCAACTGTATGATTCTATGATTCCATGAAAACCTGGCTCTAGGGCCAAGCCTTTGGAGATGAATCTGTGGTGCAATATTAACATTCAAATATGTGGAATTGGTCTTTCGAACAGCCCCAGATTATGATTGAGGATGGCACGATTTTGATAGTGAATACAAAGTTTTAATGTGCATTTAATTTTAATTTTTTAACTTAAGTGTATATATATATTCTAGCCTTCTCCTGCCACGTGTTGCTGTCACCCAATCTGTGTATATGTGTCTTGTGTGTATATATGTGTGTGTATATATTTATGTATATATATGTGTGTGTTTATATGTGGTTTTGCACATGCATTCTAATGTATTTTTTATTTTTTGGCTTTTTAAGTCTTTTCCACTTTGTTTTCAGTGTTTTTATGAGTGACGGTCACTCATTGGCCTGATATGTGTATTGTATCCAAAATTGGTGTCAATTCGTCGAGTGGTTTTTGAGTTATGTTAATCCCACAAACAAACATTTTTATTTATATAGATATAATTGAAGTTATTTATTTGTTTGTTTATTTATTGTGCAATAATAAATTTATTAATAAATTAGCGAAGCAGTACTGCATCAGAGACAGTCAGGGTATTTGTTCTCTTATGTTCCCCTAGAATGGATTAAGCACTGGCCATTTGCCACTTTATTCAGAAAAAGAGATACTGTAGTTCCTTTTTTGAAGAGTTTAGGTACAGCCCTTACACCAATCTATGATTCACTACAATAAGATGTAGTGATGCCTGCCAACTTGGCTTTCAAAGAAGAGCAGATAAATGAATGGCTTCTAGTATCAAACACAGGCTAGCTTTCTACATCAGTTACAAGGTACCTAAGATGTAGCGTGCCATGTCCCTGGCCTTCTCATTGACAAGTTTTTCTTGCTGGAATAGACAGACCGATATAAAATGGCTCCTCTTATGCTCTTACTCTTGTGTACCATAATCATTGGGACGGGCAGGGGCAATAAATCCACTTTAGTGGTTCTATACTATTTAAGTTTTCCTATTTCACTCAGAAAAGTTGCACAAGAAGAAACAGCAATATCAAGAATTGATTTCTGTTCCTCTTGGTGACAGATCTGCCAGCTATTAAGGCTGTCAGAGCAAAAACCAGAGAGGCTCCTATATGGTGAATATATGTTGTGTAGAAGAGGGAATTTCAACTGATGGTGCTTGTCATAAGAAGCAGAACCTGTTGAAACTCCCTCTTCTAAATAACCATTAAGGTAGAGGTGTCTTCTTCATTTTCCACTCTGTTGTAGTAGATGCTGAAATACTGTCCCTTGGTTACCAATGAAGGGTCAAGAAGTTTAAAACTATTAGATGTCCCACTAGCTGTTCTAAGAATGGTTGTCCAAAAAGTATGTTTTCTAAGCTCTGAAAAACTTCTATATCTCATTTCCCAAAGTTCTCAATCTTTCATGCTGCAGTTGTCAAGTGATACCCATATTGAGCCATTATTAAGTTGTTACACATACAAACACACACACATCCTGGTATTTTTTTTAATGCTGGAAGCCCATTTTGTAAATTAATCAATGCTACTGTGTGCATTTGCCCAGGCAAGGACACCTTTGCATTCATTGTGTTCTTCTTTATACATCCATAGGTCACCATGCTGGTTCAGAATTGTGCTTGGATTTCCTGTGTAATACTTGCATGTCACATCACGCTACAGGTATTTGGTCAAGGTAAGGCAAAATCTCAACAATGTTTTTCAAATCATGTACTAAAGTGTCAAGATCTGGATTATTTGATTACCAATTATTTCCCATGATATATGTTGTAGCATGCCTTTAAGTTGTGTCTAACATATTGTGATCCTGGGGTATCCTAAGGCGTAGAATGTATGACTCACCCAAGATCACTGAGTGGGTTTCTTTGGATAAGCGGGGGATTGATTCCTAGCCTCCATTATGCTTGCCCAGAAGTAAATCTGGATTTGGATGCATGGACAAACTGACACCACTTTACTTTCTCTCTTTTCTCCTTTTCTCCATTTATTGAATGGAAGTTGTCATCCACTCCATCACACTAGAGAAAAAATCCACTTAAAATCCGATTTCTGCCTCCTGCAGAATTCTGGGGTTTGTAGTTTAGTGAGGCTGTTAAAGGCTCCTCCATAAACTACAAACCCCAAAATACTGCAAGAGGCAGAAATCGGATTTTAAGTGGGTTTTTTCCTCTAGTGTAAACAAGGGTGGAGAAGAAAAGCCAGCCAGATACTTAGGCTCACCAATCTCATATTGGTAGTCTATTTGTTGTGTTTATGAGGATTTCTGGGAGAGGAAGTCCAATAGTTCTGATGGACCAAAGCTTTACCATCTTTGTTAAGTACAAACTACACCATGGTCCTTTTTCTGGCCCTTGATTCCATCTGCAACCCAAATGTCCTACTGCTCCTGTGATGGGAACAATTACACCCCCACTTCTATGGAGAAGAAGAGGTAGTGTGTCCTGTCTTTGATAGGTTGGACACTTTATGCAATTTTACCAGCGTGTTGTAGTGGTTTGAATGTTGGATAATGGCGCTGGCAGATGAGGATTAGGAACCCTCTTGGCCATGGAAACCCAATGGGGGACCTTGGACAACTCATATTATCTAAGCAGAGGGCAAAGGTAGACGTCATTTGAATAAATTCTGCTATGAAGTAGACCTTAGGGTTGTCATAACTAAAAAAATACTTGAAGGCACACAGGAATAGCAAGTGGAATTCTAGAAAAAATCATCCTTGTGGAGGCAAATGCTTTCTTAAGACTGTGAGAAAATATCTCATTGGCAAGGAAGCAAAGACATGCAGGTTTTACTGAGGATAAAGCAAGTGAGAATTGTATTGTCAAAGTCTTTCATGGCTGGAATCACTGTGTTGTTGTAGGTTTCTCGGGCTATATGACCATGTTCTAGAAGCATTCTTTCCTGAAGTTTCACCTGCATCTATGGCAAGCATCCTCACAACTTCTGAGGATGCTTGCCATAGATGCAGGTGAAACGTCAGGAGAGAATGCTTCTAGAACATGGCCATATAGCCTGAAAAACCTACAACAACCAGGTGAGAATTTTCAGCCATCTCACAGATGTAACAAGGACATATGACCAAGAACATTTAAGTGTGATCAGGATGGCAAAAGTTATTAATCAGGAAGAACTGACAAGCTATAAGAGGTTGCAGTAGTTTGCCTTTTACTAACATGAGGAAAAATGAGATTTTACCCTCTCCTTTCTTTTCAGTTGAATGCAACTCACTTTTGCACTTCAAAGCTCACTTGCAGCAATGGACCTTAACTGAGGTCTAAGTAGGAGAGAGAAAGTGGGATATTTTAGGAGCAGTTAAAAGAGTGGGATGACAAAATATTTCATTGGGACATCCCCTGTCAAACTGGAAGAGCTGGAGGATGTGATAAATTTCTAACAATGTATGAGCTCAGCAGAGATGTACACCACAATATTATAATACCATTCAAAGGGGTTGCATCTTGGATAACAGGACATTGGAGTACTCTTTGCTGTCATATTCAGCTGCCAACATTCTTGGCTCTTCATTTTGGGGATCCCAGAGTGACAACCAAGGACTGGGCTGTACAAGCTGAGTGGAAAACAGCCTCTATTTATCAAGAAATGAATCCTCTTTTTGTTCTGCTGGCTGTCCCTGTTTCTCCTCCAGCTTGGACTGATGCAACTGGATCCTGTGGATTCTCGTCTGTAGGAAGAGTGGCCCTTCTTTTCTATTTTGGCCATGGCACTCTGAATCTCGGCTTTGTTTCCTCCTGCAAAACAATTTCCTCAGAGGAAGCAAGAAGGCTTATCTCTAAAAGGTTAAACTAAACAGATGTGGCCTTGAGTCAGTTGCTATGTTCTCTGGGAACCACAGGACATGGATCAAGACCAAAGGCCTGCTTTTCTAATCCAAAGTTTTGTATCCCCCATTGGTCCACCAGATGTTTATGAGAATCCCACAATGTAGATCCCCTCCATACATCAGTTAACAAAACCTCTGATAAAGAAACACTTTTTTTACAAAGCCCTTTTGCTCTTGCCTATCTCTCCTTGGCAGCAACCTCGGTTCGGATCCGAGTCATGGCACCACAAGCCCTATGAGAAGTGGCTTAAGGAGCTGGCCATGTTTAGCCTGAAGAAAAGGCGGAGAGGAGATATGATAGCCATGTATAAATATGTGAGAGGAAGCCACAGGGAGGAGGGAGCAAGCTTGTTTTCTGCTTCCCTGGAGACTAGGACACGAAACAATGGCTTCAAACTACAAGAAAGGAGATTCCATCTGAACATGAGGAAGAACTTCCTGACTGTGAGAGCCATTCAGCAGTGGAACTCTCTGCCCCGGAGTGTGGTGGAGGCTCCTTCTTTGGAAGCTTTTAAACAGAGGCTGGATGGCCATCTGTCAGGGGTGATTTGAATGCAATATTCCTGCTTCTTGGCAGAATGGGGTTGGACTGGATGGCCCATGAGGTCTCTTCCAACTCTTTGATTCTATGATTCCTTCTCCCCCTTGTCTTCTGTCCAACATTGGCATTGGGAAAATGTCCTTCCTTGGAGATATTTAGGATCGCATATTAGACCTTGAATATGAGCTCTGTTACCGAATTACAGTACAATCCATGCATCCACAGGACTATTAGCCATGATTGTATTTATCCACGTCTGACAAAATATGTAATCTCTAAGCCTTTTCTAGATCCTCCAGGTAATTCTATAATTCTATAGAGGTTGTCCATAGAATCATTCTGAAGGACCTAGCGATGGTTAGAGTTCTTCAGTGAGACTCTAGGGCAGGCATGGGTAAACTTCAGCCCTTCAGGTTTTTTGGACTTCAACTACCACAATTCCTAACAGCCAGTGGGAGCTGACATCCAAAACACCTGGAGGGCCATGCCCGATCTATGGGATGCTTCTGCTAGAAGTTATTCACTCAATACCTGTGCATTTATGCAAAGTTCTGGAACATCTCTCCTGGGGATGTGGGTTTCATACTTTGCTCATTCCTTCCAAGGGGAAAACCAATTCATTCCCAATTCATTCCCCCTTCCAAGGGGGAAACCAATTCATTGCCAATTCATTCCCAATTAGCACAACAGTATTAAAGTGGGATGTGCCTAGTTTGTACGATAGCATCAATACTAAAGTAGAAAAAATACCTTTGCTTTGAAAGATGTTGCCATTTCTCTTCCAGGGTCAAACCGATTAAAGCTGACAGTCTTGTCAGAAGACAGGTTACAGATGAAATGGAAAGAAACAGAGGGAAACACAAATGGGTACAAAGTGCGTGTGAAGCCAATGGCAGGTATGTGATAAGAAGAGAAGGGAGTGCAATTCTTCTTGAAAGGATACAGACTCTACTTGCAGTTCTTTACATCAAAATAAACCAAAAAGTTAATTCTACGGGGGTCCCTGGATGAGTTTAGGAATTTGTGGGATCTTAAGCAAATCTCTCTCCTCCCTCCTGTGCTAGGGTTGCTTTTAAGGGTTTTAGGAATATTCAGAAATATCTCATGGAAGACATGTTAAGACAACTGACAAGATTTTTTTTTACCCCTAAGCAAGAGCTTAAGTTTGGGGGCATGTAGGGAGGTGTTAAGGTCAGAGTAAACCTAAGGGCTGCAATGCCACCCATGGATGACAGCTCCCTCCCTTTAACTACATGAACATGGTTTTTAATTGTTTGAAAGAATCACTGGTAAATGCACAATGTAATTATGAATTTAAGATTTGATTGGACCACAGAGATTTTTTTCCTTCATTTAAATTACATACCTAAGGATTTCACAAACATTGTCAATAACATCTATAAACAATTATTTGTGTATTTAGACACCTCTGAGATGTCTCTGGAGCTAGCATGGTATAGTGGTTTGAGTGTTGGGCTACAACTCTGCAGAGCAGGATTCAAATTGCCATGCACACATGAAAACCTAATGGGTGACCTGGGCAAGTCGCATCCCCTCAGCCCCAGAAAACCCTGGGATTGGCTCACCTTAGAATTGCTATAATTTGGAAATAGGTTGAAAGCATACATCAACAATAAGTTGTTGCTGATCTCTTTTTTTGATAGAGTTACAAGCTGAGTCGATGCAGGGAATACCATGGATGTCACATATCTGGATTTCAGTAAGGCCTTCAACAAGGTCCCCCATGACCTTCTTGCAAGCAAACTAGTCACATGCAGGCTAGGCAAAACAACGGTTAGATCAGTGGTTCTCAACCTGGGGTCCCCAGATGTTTTTGGCCTTCAACTCCCAGAAATCCTAACATCTGGTAAACTGACTGGGATTTCTGGGAGTTGTCAGCCAAAAACATCTGGGGACCCCAGGTTGAGAACCACTGGGTTAGATGGACCTGTAATTTGTTAAGTGAATGAACCCAATGTGTGCTCACCAATGTTTTCTCTTCATCCTGGAAAGAAGTGGAGTGAGTGGAGTGCTTCAGGGCTCCGTTCTGTTCAACATCTTTATTAATGACTTAGATGAAGGACTTAGAAGAAGGCATGGTCATCAAGTTTGCAGACTACACCAAATTGGGAGGGATGGCCAATACTCCAGAAGACAAGAGCAGAATTCAAAATGATCTGAACAGATTAGAGAGATGATGCCTAGCTCGACAGCAGTACGTGTGAAAAAGATCTTGGTGTCCTTGTGGACAACAAGTTAAACATGAGCCAACAATGTGATGCAATAGCCTAAAAGGCCAATAGGATTTTGGAGTATAGTGTCTAGCTCCAGGGAAGTCATGCTACCCCTCTATTCTGCCTTAGTTAGACTACACCTGGAATCACACTGTGTCCAATTCTGGGCACCACAATTGAAGGGAGGTGTTGACAAGGTGGAATGTGTCCAGAGAAGGGTGACTAAAATGATCAAGCGTCTGGAGAACAAGCACTATGAGGAGTGGCTAAAAGAGCTGGGCATGTTTAGCTTGCAGAAGAGAAGGATGCGAGGAGACATAATGGCCGTGTATAAATATGTGAGGGGAAGTCATAGGGAGGAGGGAGCAAGCTTGTTTTCTGCTGCCCTGGAGACTAGGACATGGAACAATGGCTTCAAACTACAGGAAAGAAGATTCCACCTGAACATGAGGAAGAAATTCCTGACTGGGAGAGCTGTTCAGCAGTGGAACTCTCTGCCCCTGAGTGTGGTGGAGGCTTTTAAGCAGAGACTGGAGGACCATCTTTTGGGGGTGCTTTGAATGCAGTTTTCCTGCTTCTTGGCAGGAGATTGGACTGGATGGCCCACAAGGTCTCTTCCAACTTTATGATTCTATGATTCTATGTCTCTGCTGCTCTTAGGAAACTCTTAGAATCATAGAATCAAAGAGTTGGAAGAGACCTCATGGGCCATCCAATCCAACCCCCTGCCAAGAAGCAGGAATATTGCATTCAAATCACCCCTGACAGATGGCCATTCAGCCTCTGTTTAAAAGCTTCCAAAGAAGGAGCCTCCACAGCAGCCTTCTCCAGGTGTGTGCTGTGATCCAGAAGGGTTGAGCTCTAACTTCCATGATCCCCAGACAGCATGATGGAAATTGCAGTAAAAAACATTCATAAGCTAATGTGAATTCTGTGCTCAACCCTACAGTTTTGGAATTTGCTTTGTAGCTCAATTTTTTACCCCTTCCTTTTTAACAGTAAGAAAAATCTGGAAAACATGCAGACCTTTCATTCCAGTACTTTAAGCTAATAACAGGTCTGCAAAATCAGATATGCACCTCTTCTGGAAGCCTTCCAATATTTCAGTGGGCTTTATGACATTCCTGATGTGTGAAATAGATTCCTAGTGATGTAATTAACCAACTGCTTGATCGTGTTTATCTTTTTTAAAAAGAGATGTTCATGAAGAAATGAAAGGTGTTAATATTTATGTCTATCATGTTAGCTATGAAATGCAAAAGCTGATGTCTGTAAGAACGGAAGAGTTGATTGCTCCGTCTCGTTGACTCCTGAGCCAAATGTTCTCTGAGTTTGATTTTTGCCTCAAATATAAAAATTTAGAAAGGACGATTCTGATTGCAAAAACTGTAACTTCTTCCATTTGTCATGATGGTTTGCAACCACTCAGAATTTTTATTTCCTGTGACTACTTCAGATGGGTTTTATTTTCTTATATAATCTCTTACTGAGCGATCCTAGCCAGTGAGGAATCATATACGCTACGTGATGATGTTGTAAATCTATGTAGCCAGATAGAAATACTGCTGTGCTGACATTATAGAGGACAAGGAAGGTTATGGAAAAAAATGTTGTTTTTACTAGCTGCATAGATGATCCTAGCCAATCAGGGACCAGATGTTTCCAAATATGTTTTAGAGTGATATAAGGATGACCCTTTTTGGGCCGCATTGCATCAACTTTCAGAAAAGATAACCTTTTTTCAATATTCCATAATATAAAAGATACATATGTATCTATTCCCTTGATATTCTTGATAGAAAACCAGAGAAGGTCTGGAATTTATTTCAGATTTCAGAAAGCATTTCATATAGGCTCGGTGCACAAATAATAAGACTCTATACCATCGTATCTGAGCGTTTGTGTATGTCCAGACCAGCCTACTAGTCACCTTGCATTTAAGATTGCTTACATTGAGTTTTTGGAAGATAAGAAAATAGATAGGAAAGTCAGAGATGTCATGACTCCTTTGAAGTAATGTCATAAAGGTCAATATAGGATGTACCATTGTTGTACATATATTTTGACTGTTTGAGGACTGAAACATCCATAGAGATACTTACTTACTTACTTACTTACTTACTTACTTACTTACTTAGGTGATCCCTCGTTGGACGAGTAAGATGGTCTTCCATTATGGATTTCCTTGTGGGTCCGTATGTGGCTGTGGAGCCCTATTCTTGCTCTGCATCTTCTTCCGCAGTGAGGGCATTGGTTTCCGGTGGAAGGTGGTCCCGGTCGGGGTTGGCTTGACGCGCCTTCCTCCTGGCACGTTTCACTCTTTCACCCTCCACTCGTGCCTCCTCAAATTCTGCAGCACTGCTGGTCACAGCTGACCTCCAGCTGGAGCGCTCAAGGGCCAGGGCTTCCCAGTTCTCAGTGTCTATGCCAGAGTTTTTAAGGTTGGCTTTGAGCCCATCTTTAAATCTCTTTTCCTGTCCACCAACGTTCCGTTTTCCGTTCTTAAGTTCGGAGTAGAGCACCTGCTTTGGGAGACGGTGGTCAGGCATCCGGACAACGTGGCCGGCCCAGCGGAGTTGATGTTGGAGGACCATCGCTTCAATGCTGGTGGTCTTTGCTTCTTCCAGCACACTGACGTTTGTCCGCTTGTCTTCCCAAGAGATTTGCAGGATTTTCCGGAGGCAGCGCTGATGGAATCATTCCAGGAGTTGCATGTGACGTCTGTAGACAGTCCACGTCTCACAGGCATATAGCAGGGCTGGGAGGTTGATAAAGTTATTGTCCTCCCAACACTGCTATATGCCTGTGAAATGTGGACTGTCTACAGACATCACACTTAACTCCTAGAATTATTCCATAGGCGTTGCCTCTGAAAAATCCTGCAAATATCTTGGGAAGACAGGTGGACAAATGTCAGTGTGCTGGAAGAAGCAAAGATCACCAGCACTGAAGCAATGCTCCACCACCGCCATCAACTCTGCTAGACTGGCCATGTTATCCGAGTGCCCGATCACCTTTTCCTAAAGTAGTTACTATACTTCCAGCTCAAGAATGGGGAACATAATGTTGGTGAACAAGAAAAGAGATTCAAAGATGGGTTTAAATCCAAGCCTAAAAACTCTGGCATAGACATTGAGAACTGGGAAGCCCTGGCCAACTGGAGGTCAGCTGTGACAAGCTGTGCTCCATAATTCAAAGAGGCACGAATGGAGGGTGAATGCAAAAAACATGCCAAGAGGAAGATGCATCAAGCCAACTCTGACCAGAACCATCTTCCACCTGGAAACCAATGCCCTCACTTCGGGAGAACATGCAGATGAAGAATAGGGCTCCACAGTCACCTACTTACCCACCACCAGGACACCAAACTTGGATGACAATCTTACTCAGACAACGAGGGATCGCCTAAGTAAGTAAGTAAGGAAGGAAGGAAGGAAGGAAGGAAGAAGCAAAGACCACCAGCACTGAAGTGATGCTCCTATGCTATCAACTCCTCTGGACTGGCCACATTGTCCAAATGCCCAATCACAGTCTCCCAAAGCAGTTACTATACTCCCAACTCAATAATGGGAAATGTAATGTTGGTGGACAGGAAAAGAGATTGAAGGATGGGGTTAAAGCCAACCTTAAAAACTGTGGCATAAACACAGAGAACTTGGAAGCCTTGGCCCTTGAGTCCTCTAACTGGAGGTCAGCTATGACCAGCAGTGCTGCATAATTTGAAGAGGCATGAGCGGAGGGTGAAAAGGAGAAACATGCCAAGAGGAAGGCACATCAAGCCAACCATGACTGGGACCACCTTCCATCTGGAAACTGATGTTCTCACTGTGGGAGAACAGGCAGATCAAGAATAGGGTTCCACAACCACCTATGGACCCACCGCCAAGATACTTGGAGGACCATCATCCTTTGGCTAAAAGTGATTGCCTAAGTAAGTAAGTAAGTAAGTAAGTAAGTATATATATGCAGTGTAAGGTCCATTTGGCTACAGCCATTAACAGGAAAAGCTGAGGAAGCAATAACAATCTACTATCTTGGGTTTTGCTGTAACTGAAAAACAGAGCATCTTCCACAGTGGGTATGTACTGGGTATGATTTATGACCCATGAGCAACTAACTGGGTATACAAGCCTTTATAAGGATGATTCTGGAGGAATCTTCAATTCTGACAAAGGAATGTTATGCGCCGGCTAATCCTACTGCTTGTTAAAAATAACAAGCAGTGGGATTTTCCTTGAATCAGACGGTTAATCTGCCAAAATCCCTGACAGAAAACAATCCCATGCTCCCTGTGAGGATAGCTTAGAGAGGCATAAGATGCTACAGGCCTCTCTAAAGATGATGCATTATTAAATATTTAAACTACATGTTCATATCACCATCTCAGTTTTGGATGATCTAACCTTCATCTCTCCTCTTTGTCCTATTCCAGGTGACTCTGAACAGGAAGTCATGTTGAAAACCAAGACAGCTAAAGTGACTGTGGGGGGACTGAGTCCCACAAAAGAGTACACCTTACAAATCTACGTCTTGAATGGTTCTCAGGAGGCTCTCTTTGTCAAGAGGAGATTTGTGAGTAAGTGTGTTTCTACAAAATAATTTCTAGATGTCTTAAATGTATGAGATGGCTAGAAAGATGGGTGGCTCCATTATATTGCTTAAGCCACTTTAAGACACTCCTCATAGGGCTTGTTCTCCAGACCCTTGAGCATTTTAGTTGCCCTTCCCTGGACACATTACAGCTTGTGAACATCTCCCTTCAATTGTGTGCCCAGAACTGGACACAGTGTGATTCCAGGTGTGGTCTGACCAAGGCGGAATAGAGGGGTAGCATGACTTCCCTAGATCTAGACACTGTGCTCCTATTGATGCAGGCCAAAATTCCATTGGCTTTTTTGCCACTGCATGATATTGTTGGCTCATGTTTAACTTGTTGTCCACAAGGACTACAAGATCTTTTTCACATGTATTGCTCTCGAGCCATGCATCCCCCATTCTATATCTTTGCATTTCATTTTTCTGCCAAATCTTGCATTTGTCTCTGTTGAACTTCATTATGTTGGTTTTGGCCAACCATCTCTCTAATCTGTTCAGATCGTTTTGAATTCTGCTCCTGTCCTCTAGAGTATTGGCTATCCCTCCAAATTTGGTGTCATCTGCAAACTTGATGATAATGTTTTCTAACCCTTCATCTAAGTCATTAATAAAGATGTTGAACAGAACCGATGCTAGATCATACTTCACTTTCAGGACACATTTCAGGATAATAACAAGTTGTGCAATTGCTTGTCTTGCCCACACAATCAGGGCTCCTACTAGAGAACTGGCCAACAGTGAGAGAACACTGAAAATAACATTGGAAGTAGTATCCAAATATAAGAGAAGCTTTGATGGATTAGATCAAAGATATTAGAACCTGGTCTCGCCCTAATTTGGTTGCTAGTTTCCTACACAATGTTGATCCACTTCCAGTGAGTATCATGAGTTAAACTGGGTTAATCTGGCTTTGCTTCATATTGGTCAAAGTTGCACCAGAGTTTGCTTGAAATTCTGGAGTGTTCCACAAATTTGGGGCAATGTGAACACCTCAAATGATTCTGGTTCAGACTGGTCCACTGTTCATACATGGCACCATCACCACCACCTTTTCCCCTTGCTCATCTCAGCTTGTGAAAATCCATGAAATACAGAAGGGAACACAGCTTTTGATTGGTTGACATCATGACTAGCTCTGATTTGCTCATGTTTTGCTATTCACAGTAGACGAATTGAAGAACCTCTCCCAAGCAAGAAGCAATAGACGGCATCCAACAAGTGCCCCAGAAAAGGCAGAGACATTGTTGGGGGTCACAACAGCTCAATATATTCTAGAGACGTATACCACTTCATCAGCTGTCAGTGAAGTCTCAACTTTGATAAGTATGTTTGGGGCTCAAGGGATCTAAACCTGGGCTGAAGGTTTAAGATGTTAAGCTTAACATTTAGGCTATTATTTTGGGGTTGGATCTGAAGCCCTTCTTATGGATTTTGGAGATGTGAGGTAAAAAAAATTGGAGAAAAATGGTATGTGTCAGTGTGTTTTCTCCAAGTGTTGTGTGTGTGAGAGTGTGGGAGACGCAGTGCAGTTCCCAAACCTCAAGAGGTTGCCCATTCTACTCTATATCATGATATAATATTCTGATGAACAGTTTTGGGGGAAAAAGCAACAAGTAAGGAACAAGGGAATTGCCAGCAAATGTCATTATCCTGACAAAATTCACTTTCACCCAAATGGGACCTCGAAGTTTACAGCTTGTGAATATAGAAATATCTCTATAAAGTAGAGTGCAAAAGGATTGGTGCAATATGAACTTCTGATAGAGACAGGAAAAAATATTCAAGACGCTCTTGTTGGGGGAAAAAGAAAACTACAATATTTATTGTCTCAGAAAATCCATCTTGAGATAGAAAAGAGATAGAGTGCTATTGCATGATGCTGCTAATGCGCTATAGCAATGCATTATTCCTATTGATGTTTCAGCATTTTTGCATAATGTTGTCACAGGATTGTTATGATGTGAGGTCATTGAATAAGGGTTTTTTTTCCTGTTGTGAAAATAATCTGTTAATAACCACTTTGTGTGTGGATTTCTCACAGCACTTTCTGTGAAGCTTGGCTCTGCCTTCTCCTCTCCTTTGCTTAAGTTTCCCCTGTTTATAGGCCTTCTCAATAGTGTAGATAATGTCCTTTATATTCGTTTTTGGGTGGAACTTAAAATCCCCCCAGAGGCCAGTCTTAGTTGGTCTATTCCTTTCCCTATATAGAGCTCTCTTGCTGAATTCCTCCCTCTTTTCTACAGCAGAGCTACTGTGATTTAGGCTTTGGATTGTCTGGTAATCCTATACCCAAGCAATTCAAGCAGGCATTCTTAGCTGCTGCAAGTAGCACTATTATTATACCAACAGTCCAAAGGACAACAGAAGCTTTGGGCCAGCCTAAACTTCACAAGAGACAGTTTATAAGCAACAACTTATAATCCATCACTTTGCACCAGAAACAAGAGACCTTAGAAAGATGACTGCAACCAGCAAAATCTCTTGCAATGTATTGTTTTAAGTTACCTTATGATAGTCCCAGGTGGATTTAACCCTTTATTCATCTTGTTTCAGTAAACTTATTTGGTTATCTTTTCACTTTGCCTAAAGCGCCTCTGTGTTAAAGGGTCTTAATCTTAGCTGAAGGTATCAGATACACCCCGAGTAAAGCCAGACAATATAGTTTTCCCAAAGGCTTGGGCATGCCATCACACTTTCTTCTATTAATGATCCACTAATGTTCATGGTGTAGGTATAGCCGGCTTATTCCTATCTCTAGGATTCTAAAGGACATCTCTTACAGAAAAGCTCCAGATCTTTTCTAGTATTACAGTGGGGAGATGATTGTTCTACTATGTTTAATCCTCTTTTAACCTTCGCTTCTGATTTCTCTCTCTCTTTCTCTCTTGCTGTTATATTGTCATAGAGAAGCCCTCAGTGGCGCAGCAGGTTAAACTGCTGAGCTGCTGAACTTGCTGTCCAAAAGGTTAGCAGTTCAAATCCAGGGAGCAGGGTGAGCTCCCGCTGTTAGCCCCAGCTTCCACTAATCTAGTAGTTCGAAAACATGCAAATGTGAGTAGCGCAACAGGTACTGCTTTGGCAGGAAGGTAATGCCGCTCCATGCAGTCATGCCTGCCACATGACCTTGGAGGTGTCTACGGACAACACTGGCTCTTTGGCTTAGAAATGGAGATGAGCACCAACCCACAGAGTTGGACTCGACTAGACTTAATGTCAACAAGAAACCTTTACCTTTTATTGTCATAGCATTATAGCATATTACCCTGTCATATATTCAGCCACCATGGTGCAATTATGGCAACATTTAAAGAAATTGGACAGACCCATCACAATGCATGGATGGGATAAGGGAATAGGTAGTGGTGCCATTAATGCAGACAGAAAGCCCAAGCAAATCGCAGTCTTAGCGTGCAAATGCAGCAAAGGGCAAGCATGATCTAGATACCCCACTTTCATTAATCAGTTTGCACAAGCATAGGGCTGCAAGGTGTGTCATTGTGTGGTTGTGTGTGTTTTAACCTTGCAATAACTACAAATACACCAAGGTCTCCAAGCTGAGTCTGGCAGGAAAGCAAAACAATCTTACTGAACACATTACATTGTGTAATTTAAATTTATTTTAGATAATACTTCCTAATTATGTTGACTAACCAACAGAAGAGGTGGACGCTGTTGGATTGGTTTGTTTTCTTTGCCATGATGCTGTTTTCATGATCCTGACTTTCGGCCTCTTGAGATTTGTCCATTATGGAGGAAAAAAATCCAAGCACACAAACATAAGCTTCAGGTTGTGAAATAAATATTCATTAATTCCAGTTTGTATGGGGAGGGATCCGCTCCAGAAAAATCATTTCTTTAGTTATTTAACCTTTAGATTTTGCAATAACTGGAGACATCAGACTGATGCAGGGACAGAAAACTAAATGAAATATAGGAATAGATTATCTGAAGACTGTGTTCCACCATAAGTGTCTGTCCAGATTTTTTAAAAAGGGGATGCCTTTCTCTCACTTCTGCTATCTCCACACACACACACACACACACACACACACACACGAGAGAGAGAGAGAGAGTGAGAGTGTATATATAGATAGATAGATAGATAGATAGAGAGAGAGAGAGAGAGATAGCGCGCGTGAGAGAAAGGAAAAACACTTTTCTTGCTAGTTGCTCCTAACCTCCCAATGTGGTTACCTTTATATTGTGATTCCTCTGGAAAAACAATATATTTTTCAAAAGGCAAATCTTTTTTAAAAAGCAAGTTGGTGCTTTTTGCTAGCATAGCTCCTAAGTAGCTACACCAGCATAAGTACTTTTTAAAACATTGCACAAGGAGGCATCCGACTCCTCTTTGCACAATGCTTTCCTACAAGGTTGATGGAACAATCTATTTAAACTGCAATGGTTCCATCTTATGGAATCCTGGGATTTATAGTTTGGTGAAGCATTGGAGCCTTCTGCCTGGGAATTTTAAGTACCCTGCCTTCAACTGCAAATCCCAAGAATCCATAGGAATCCCAGGATTTGTGTTGTATAGCAGCCCTTAAATGGGAGTATTATTTACTTATTTATTTACAGCATTTATATTCTGCCCTTCTCACCCTGCAGGGGACTCAGGGCAGATCACAATGCACATATATATGGCAAACATTCAATTCCATAGACACACAAAATATATAGACAGAGACTATTTAACTTTCCAGTTTCATGAGGGTATGCTTTTTGAATTCTGGCCACCGGGGGAGCTGTCACTTCACCATCCACTTGTGACACAGATGGAGTACTTCCTCATTCTTTTGCACGCTGCTGGAGAGTTTTTATGGCATCATAAATTAGTTAAATTAGCCTCCCTGCATAAGCAGTACCTAAATTTCTTACTTGATAGATGCAACTGTCTTTCGGGCTGCAAAGGTCGACAGCAAGTTAGACAAATGGCCAGAAGCTCACTCCGATCTGGGCTGGCTTCGAATTCATGACCTCTTGGTCAGTAGTGATTCTAATGCAGCTTACTCCCAACCAGCTCTGCCACAACCTGGAGTAATAGAGTGAATGGACTATGAACCTGTCCACCGCACTCCCCTCAGTGGTCTTCTCTAACATTGAATGCATTCATTGGAATGAAAAAGATCTAACACATTTTCCTTAGGTTCCGTATAAATAAATATGTAGAGGAAGCATTGTGGTTGTGGTTTGACTGTTGGACCAAGACTCTGGGAGACCAGGGTCTCACTCTCACTGAGATTGTGTTCATAGGGTTGTAGTCATTGTTCTTTCTGTGATGCTTTGAAACATAGGAAAGGATGAGCCAGAGAAGAAAAGGCAAAAATCAGCAATTTTCAAAGGAGTCAGTGAACGTATGTTGAGTGTGGCACCAACACCAAAGCCAACTACTTTGACCACCATGATATCAACTCTACCAAGCCAAATAGAATTTGAATTAGACTACCTGGCCCAAGAGAAAACAACTAGAGAAAGCTTCAGGAGAGGTGAGACACTTTGTTGTTTTGGCTCTTTGCCATCAAGGGTTTAAATGTATGGTTACCTTATGAAGGAAAGACTTCCATTAGCCTTGGTCATCAAACTTTTAAACGCTGGGCTGTGGCTTCCATGCCTGAATTAATCCAGTTTCCCTCTTTCCTACTGTCTTCTACTTTCTCCTCCATCACAATATTTTCCAATGAGTCCTCTCTTCTCATGATTGGCTTCATTGTACTTATCTTTGCTTCTAGGAAGGGTTTAGGGTTGGTTTACTCTAGAAACCACTGATTTGTTTTCTTTGCAGTCCATGAAACCTATAGAACTCTCTGCCAGTTCCACATTTCAAATGAGTTGTGTCCCTTCTACTCAGTCTTCTGTTTTCATGGCCATATAGAAACTGCAGGAAAATATGATGTATATGATTCCAACTTTGGTATTTAGTGTTATGCCACGAGATCAAGATATACAGTTTTCCGTGTCTATGTGCTCCATATTAGTAAATGGCTTTGACATGAATATGGACATGGTAAAGCATACACCATGTCCATATTATCACCATGTTGTTGTTGTTCATTCGTTCAGTCGTGACCTCATGGACCAGCCCACGCCAGAGCTCCCTGTCGGCCGTCACCACCCCCAGCTCCTTCAAGGTCAGTCCAGTCACTTCAAGGATGCCATCCATCCATCTTGTCCTTGGTCGGCCCCTTTTCCTTTTGCCTTCCACTTTCCCCAGCATAATTGTCTTCTCTAGGCTTTGCTGTCTCCTCATGATGTGGCCAAAGTACTTCAACTTTGTCTCTAGTATCCTTCCCTCCAATGAGCAGCCGGGCTTTATTTCCTGGAGGATGGACTGGTTGGATCTTCTCGCAGTCCAAGGCACTCTCAGAACTTTCCTCCAACACCACAGTTGAAAAGCATCTCTCTTCCTTCGCTCAGCCTTCCCTAAGGTCCAGCTCTCACATCCGTAGGTGACTACAGGGAATACCATGGCTTTGACTATGCGGATCTTTGTTGCCAGTGTGATGTCTCTACTCTTTACTATTTTATCAAGATTGGACATTGCTCTCCTCCCAAGAAGTAAGCGTCTTCTGATTTCCTGGCCACAGTCTGCATCTGCAGTAATCTTTGCACCTAGAAATACAAAGTCTGTCACGGCCTCCACGTTTTCTCCCTCTATTTCCCAGTTGTCAATCATTCTTGTTGCCATAATCTTGGTTTTTGATGTTTAGCTGCAACCCAGCTTTTGCGCTTTCTTCTTTCACCTTGATTAGAAGGCTCCTCAGCTCCTCCTCGCTTTCGGCCATCAGAGTGGTGTCATCTGCATATCTGAGGTTGTTAATGTTTCTTCCAGCAATTTTCACCCCAGCTTTGCATTCCTCAAGCCCCGCACATCACATGATGTGTTCTGCATACAAGTTAAAAAGTTGGGTGAGAGTATGCAGCCTTGCCGTACGCCTTTCCCAATCTTGAACCAGTCTGTTGTTCCGTGGTCAGTTCTTACTGTTGCTACTTGGTCCTTGTACAGATTCCTCAGGAGAGAGACAAGGTGGCTTGGGATGCCCATCCCACCAAGAACTTGCCACAATTTATTATGATCCACACAGTCAAAGGCTTTAGAATAGTCAATGAAGCAGAAATAGATGTTTTTCTGAAACTCCCTGCCTTTCTCCATTATCCAACGGATATTGGCAATCTGGTCTCTCATTCCTCTATTATCACCATACTGCCTTTTAATAATATGGGACAAGATCATCTACTTTTTTTGTATCTGTGATGGGTTCTGGAATTGAACCCTTATGGATATAGAAGGTCTGCTATATATCTTTGTATCTGAATACACTGATAAAGGAAAGTGGCAAGAGGAGGAAAGAAGCTGGGGCATTATAAAATCAGTTGAAAAAGTGGAACAATATAGGATTTCAGCCACTTCCACCTTTGCACTCAGCTTAATGGTACTTCTGCTACTACAGATTGAATAATAGTGGAAGTATAGGAAGATGTTGGCATATCTTCCTTTCTTGTAGAAACAGACAAAAGCAAAGTCCTGCAACTTATCCTTGCTGTCATGTATGTTCTCTGTCATTAATAGCTTTGCCCATCTTGACCACAAACAGAGATTTCTTGTTCTCATATGTCCCACTTTTCATCTGTGAAATGTTGGAGAGCATGAACCCCCCTTGTAATCTGTAATGTCTTATTATACCAGAAAGATCAACTCCCCAAGCTTATGGGAGAGGATACAGAGGAATTGAGGCACATGATGTGGAAAGCAAAATTTGGAAAGAGACTAAATAACAAGAAAAACCACCTGGACAAATTTAGCCTGGAGGAGAAGCCAATGAATGTTAACTATGCCAAGCCATCTTAGAAGGCTTACGTGATGAAGAAGCAAAGAACTGGATTAGTGCAGTGATGGATTTGAACTGACAGCATGTATCAAATCACACCGGGGCATTTTCACTAAGATTGCCTGTTGCCTCTTCACTTTAGGAGATTGCCACATTACCTAAACACACCTGTGTTTTGGGTCCAGTGCAAACTCATTCATGATGAAATGAAATCCATTGTTGTGCTTTGAATGCACGTTTTTCTTTTGGCATCGAGAGATTGCATTTCTAGTACTGATAAATTAGGGAAATTAAGAATATTGGGAGATTTGCCTAATGTCTAATTTTTTGCCATACACACAAACACACACACACCATATAGATGATAGATAGACAGATAGACAGATAGACAGATAGACAGATAGACAGATAGACAGATAGACAGATAGACAGATAGACAGACAGACAGACAGACAGACAGACAGACAGACAGACAGACAGACAGACAGACAGACAGATAGATAGATAGATAGATTGACATTTGCAAGAATTAGAATTGGGCAGTGCCATAATGTCTGTATCAAGGACGGGGCTGCTGTGATGTTACTATGTACAAGTCTGGAAATGTGACCATTGCACAATTGGACTAATTGATGCACTATAAGATTTGCATTGGGCACCTATGTACCTCTTGTCAGTGTCCTATTAAACATCAGCACAGTTAAAAGGGTTTTGTTGTCGAAGGCTTTCATGGCCAGAATCACTGGGTTGCTGTGAGTTTTCTGGGCTCTATGGCCATGTTCCAGAAGCATTCTCTCCTGATGTTTCACTCACATCTATGGCAGGCATCCTCACAATCTCTGAGGATGTCTGCCATAGATGTGGATGAAACGCCAGGACAGAATGCTTCTGGAATATGGCCATACAGCCCAGAAAACACACAGCAATCCAATTAACAGGGTTTCTTAGCATCTCTTCTACATGCATAAGTATATATAAAGATATATACTGTAGATAGTTATATAAAATACTGACGATTTTCTGCAAAAATGGATGGTGGTGCTGATGGTGGCAGTTATTGGTGATGATATTAGCTTTTAAGAAATAGCAAGAGAGAGAGAGAACTTTTCCAGGAATGTGTGCAAAAATACTCCAGAATCAATCAAACAATCAATCAATTAATCAGTTTGTCAATCACTTTACAGTGGGCCCCTGATACCTGGTAAGCTTTCATTCCAGGGCATGTCCAATTCCTCTGGGATTCCCATATCTGTTTCAGATTTTGGAATATTTGTATATACATAATGAGATGTTTTGGATATTGGATCCAAGTCTAAACACAACATTCATTTATGTTTCACATGTATGTTATTCACATAGTGTGGAGGTATATTTTACATTTTTAAAAAATATTTTGGTGCATGAAACAAACTTTGTTAAGTGTCACTACAAGAGCCACCCTAAAACAGTTTTGGAATTTGGAGCATGTTGGATTTCAGATTCCTTTATATAGGATACTCGTTACATAAATCTAAGAGAATGTTGAATTTTCACACAGATTTTGTCAATTCTCCCTGAATTGACAAAAGTCATGTTTGAAAAAAAGAAATTAAATTTGTTAGATTCCCTCAGTGGAGAGCAAGCGCTTTAAATAAATGAATACAGTAGAGTCTCGCATATCCAATATAAACAGGCGGGCAGAATGTTGGATAAGTAAAAATGTTGGAAAATAAAGATAGATTAAGGAAAAGCCTATTAAACATCAAATTGCATTATGATTTTACAAACTGAGCACCAAAATGTCATGTTTTACAACAAATTGACAGAAAAAACCGTTCAGTACACAGTAACATTATGTAGTAATTACTGTATTTACGAATTCAGTGCCAAAACATTGCAATGCATTGAAACAGCTGTGGATCCGGGCAGGAGGCACACTGTGTTGGATAATACAGAACGCTGGTTGAGCGAAGGTTGAATAAGAGAGTTTCTACTGCAGATAAAAGTGCTGTGATTATGAATAGTGACTTTACAGCAGTAATTTGGAGATGACATCTCTGGTTCTAGCTACACTACATAATTACAACAGTCTGATAACTTTAACTATCATAACCCTCTAGTATCAAATCTTGAGATTCATAATTTTTGTGAAGTACTTTGAATTCTCCACTGAAAAGTTCAAATGCTCCAGTTTTGGGGAATGCAGTAGAAAAGTTGACATGACATTCCAAATCCCAGGATTCCTTAGGATGGAGCCATGATTGTTAAAGTGATATCAAAGTGAGTTGTAGGTTTTTTCGGGCTGTATGGCCATGGTCTAAAGGCATTCTCTCCTGACATTTCGCCTGCATCTATGGCAAGCATCCTCAGAGGTAGTGAGGTCTGTTGGAACTAGGAAAAAAGGTTTATATATCTGTGGAATGACCAGGGTGGGGCAAAGAACTCTTGTCTGTTGGAGCTAGGTGTGAATGTTTCAACTGACCACCTTGATTAGCCTTTGATGGCCTGGTCATTCCACAGAAACATCAGGAGATAATGCCTCTAGACCATGGCCATACAGCCCGAAAAAACCTACAACCACCCAGTGATTCCGGCCATGAAAGCCTTCGACAATACATTGATATCAAAGTGCTGTGTCTACATAGTTTGAATGTACTCATTGCTGGTGAGTAAGCTCTACTGCTTTCCTTTCAACTGCATATAGTTTCAGATTAATTTTTGAAATTAAAATAACATGTCTTCCTTTAATTTGTGGCTTTCTCTCTTCCCCAGTTTCTCACTTCCACTGTGACACCACTGCAATGACGGATATCATCCTGCTGGTGGATGGCTCCTGGAGTATTGGGCGCAACAATTTTGGGCTCATCAGAGAATTCCTGGCATCCTTGGTTGCTCCATTCAATGTTGCGACAGACAAGATAAGAGTAGGTAAGGGGCTTCTTTTCGTGCCAGTCTGCCAAGCCAAAGACTACACAAAATTCACTTTTCTATAGAGATTTAGATTTGTTCATTTATAGCCCATTGAATCTTTTCAAAGCATGAGTACAATTTACTGTTGAAGATAGAGAAATAAAGCACATCTTCAAACATAGATCCCATGAATATAACAGAGCTGGAAGGCAAAACTGTGATAGGAAATTATTGCACAAGGCTCTAAAAATAGGTTCTGGAGTTTCAAACCCATCTTATTTATTTATTTATTTATTTCAAAGTTTTCTATACCGAACTTCTGAACCTCATTGAGGGACTCAGCCCGGTTTCCAACCATAAAAACACATACACTCATTAAAATATCATATATCACAATTACAATAACAGATTTAAAATAACACTATATATAAAACTATGGTGGTCAGTCGTCATATTAAAATCAGATCTACATCATCTTCCATCCAGAATCCTAGGGTGTTGTCTCATTCATCGAAAGCCTGACTCCACAGCCACGTCTTCACTCTTGCTGGAGACTGGATCATGCCACTGTTCATATCACACCAATCGATTACTGCAAAGTGTTTCTGTTCATAACTAGGGAGCTTCAAACACATGCCACAAGCCTTGTGTGGTAAGGTCCTTTGTATGGATCAACATGCAAAGGGATTTTGAAGTACCTTTATAATAATAATAAACCTTTATTTGTATCCCGAAGGACTCGGTGCGGCTTACAGTAGGCTGAGATCCAATACAACAATAAACAAGACAACAACAATACAGCAGTAAATAAAACTCAAGCAATAACATTAACAATAACAACACGACACAATTAAAAACCGATGTCAGGGTTTAATATTTAAAAAGGTTAAAATTTAAAAAGCTGGGCATGACCGGGTGAAATGGATAGATATTTTGGAGAATAGGTAGGGTGTGCAGACAGTCTTAGACAGTCTAGTAAAGTGCATTTGGGACAAAGTGCTTGGAGTTTCCTGTTCTGGGAAGGCACAGTGAAACAACCATGTTTTCAAGCTTCTCCTAAAGACTGTCAACATCGGGGCATGCCTGATATCCTTTGGGAGTGACTTCCAGAGTCGAGGGGCCACCACAGAGAAGGCCCTATCCCTTGTCCCCACCAATCGCGCTTGTGATGCAGGTGGGATTGCGAGCAGGTCCTCTCCGGAAGATTGAAAAGATCGTGTGGGTTCGTATACTGAAATGCAGTCACGCAGGTAGGCAGGTCCCAAACCATTTAGGGCTTTGTAGGTAAGCGGGACCGGAAAATGAATGGCAGCCAATGGAGCTCCTTAAACAGGAGGGTTGACCTCTCCCTGTAAGGAGCACCTTTGAGAAGAACAAATAATAGGAAGCTGATAGCATAGGCTTTTGTAGAATAAGAGATTGTCTACGGTTTGGATCCAGGCTATTTTTCCAACTTCATCTCCTTATATAGGCCATCTCATGCACTGCGGTCAGTGGAGGAGGCCCTGCTCTCAGTCCCACCCCCGTCTCAAGTTTGGCTGGTGGGAACGAGAGAGGGGGGGTTCTCTATGGTTGCCCCCACCTCTGGAACTCCCTCCCTAAAGAACTAAAATCAGCCCCCATCCTCCCCTCCTTTAAGAAACTTTTGAAGATGCACTTATGCACTTTAGCATGTGGAAAGGAGGAAGACTAAGAAACTATTCCATTGGGATGCTGGTGAACCCATTTGCACTATATGTTGTCTATGATACATTTTAATGAACACCTGTTTTAACTGCTTTTAATGATAAATATTTAATGTTTACATATGTTTACATATGTCCTAGTTCATTGTCTAATTAGTTTATTGCTACCTGGTCCCCATTTCAACATTTAATTCTTTCATTATAAGTTTACTGTGATTATTGTGCATTATTTTGTATTATTTCTGATGTTGTTTGTTACTTTGTAAGGCATTAAATGTTTGCCTGTTTTTGGATTGTAAACTGCCCTGAGTCCCTTTTGGGACAGAGATGCAGTCTGGAAATAAATACTACTACTACTACTACTACTACTACTACTACTACTACTACTGTTATCAAGCAATTTAGAATAGCAGTGGATAGTGAGATCCAAGTTGCTGTGGGTTTAGCCTGGTGAGAAAAGAAGCCAAATTCCAGAATAAATCTCACCAAGCTGAAGCCGAAGCCACCAAGGTATTTATTTCTGTTCCAGCTGGAAAAGGATGATGGTTGCAGTAATCTGCTGAAGAAGCTGGCATACCCAAATACAGAGACATTCACATTGTATACATTTTCAAGTTTGAATTTCCTGCAGCCACCCCCAGAGCTGGTTTCGATGTGATTGATCAGGGGAATCCCTGATGTCAGTGGGCTGGGAGGAACGGCTGGGGCCCAGTGCTTCTCAGTCTTTCCTGCCCTTTTCAATGGAGGGAAAAGGAGGTGGATTGTGCCCACATCAATATCCCCACTATTTCTAGCCAGCCTTGATCCCCATCTTGGCTGTTATTAGTGCTTCTGCTGATGTCGGAGTGGAGTACCTATGTGACCAGCAAGAAGGGTGCATGTGTGCTCCGTAGCAGTGGTGTTGTGGAGTTTTAGGTGGGGCTTTGGTGGCTGTGGAGATGAGAAGGAAACTCCCAACTCCTTTTTCCACTCAAAAAGATCTATGCAGCTTTAAGATGGACAGGAGGCCAGGCTTTGCAATTAGCAGGATATTCCTATACATGTCCATTCAGATTTTCATCTAATTGAAAATACAGTTGCAAAGAAATTAAGAACAAAACCCAATTTGTCCATCCACATTTAAGATTCAAGCTAGACAGTCACTTTTGTTGGCTATCATCATAGGACATTTCAAATTTTATCACTAAGATTAGAAAGCAGTTAAACTTATGAATCTAAGAAATTAATCATGCACAAAACAGACTTAATTGTAAGGAACTGTACTAGCGAATAATTTGTACTTTTGCTCAGCCAGATCCAATCAGTTATTACATCTAATAAATCTGTGAGAAATCTTTCTGTCGTCAGCACATACATCACCAAATGCTACATTGTGAATGGTATCTTTTATTTTGGGGTGCCCTGTGGATATGGAGATAGCAACATATTTGCATACCTCCTGTCCAAATATGAAAAATGCATCAATGATCTGAAATGATAATAACATTAACATCTAATATTTTTAAAGGGGGCCTCCCATTGAATTTTCTTTGTTTAACAATTTCCACATCTCTATTACTATCCCATGAATATATCAGACTCTAATTTTGACCTTCACTTCACTCAGTCAGTTTCAAATTTATGAAATATCTAGACTGTTATGACATTCTACAGTTCTTGGTTATTATAAGTCATACTGTTATTATAAGTCATACTATTCGTTGATTAAAATTTCATAAGTTGGGGACAGCCCAATGACATACCAAGCTCACAGGAATATTTCAAAGGCAAATATGACCAATACTGAACTCTCAACTTTTTCATCAAACAACAGTGTCTAGGGAATGATAGCATAAGTTTTCATAATGTGGATCCTGTATCAGATGAAGTAGACTTAAATCTACCAACTTCTTAGTTGGTCTTAAAGGTGCTATGAGGCTTCTTTGCGTACTGGTCCACAGTAGAGTCATAGAGTTGGAAGAGACCTCGAGAGCTATCCAGTCCAATCCCCTGCCAAGAAGCAGGAAAAGCACCTCCAACACATTAAAAGCACCTCTGACAGATGGTCATCCAGCCTCTTGTTTAAAAGCCTCCAGAGAATAAGCCTCCACCACACTCCGGGGAAGAGGGTTTCACTGCTGAACAGCTCTCACAGTTAGGAAGTTCTTCCTAGTGTTCAGGTGGAATCTCCTTTCATGTAGTTTGAAGCCATTGTTCCACGTCCTAGTCCCCAGGGCTCCAGAAAACAAGCTTCTCCTTCCTCCCTATGACTTCCCCTCACACGGCTATCATGTCTCCTCTCAGCCTTCTCTTCTGCAGGCCTAACATGCCCAGCTCTTTATGCCACTCCTCATAGGGCTTGTTCTCCAGTATCTTGATCATTTTAGTCGCCCTTCTCTGGACACATTCCAGCTTGTCAACATCTCCCTTCAATTGTGGTGCCCAGAATTGGACACAGTATTCCAGGTGTGGTCTGACCAAGGCAGAATAGAAGGGTAGCATGGCTTTCCTGGATCTAGACACTAGATCTAGTGGAACATGTTATTGTCTTTGAATTCTATAGTTTCTAAAATTGAAAATGAGGGAAAATATGCAATTTGTCCATACAGATGCTTTGGTTCTTCAAAAAATTGTAAAAAAAATCCGTGCTTTAATTTGGAAAAAGGGAAAATATTTTTTTCCCCGAGGAAAAAACATTGGATTCGTTAATGCATTTCCTCTCTGCAACATCCCAATGAAATTAATCAAAGATAAGGCAATGTTTTAATCCTTGCTCCTTCACTGATTTAGACTCCAGCCTTATCAGATTTAAGGACACTTATTCAAGTCACCTGATGACTTATGGTGACCTCTTGAATATCATAAGGCTTGCTTAGGAAAGGAATTACTCAAAGATGGTTTGCCATTGCCTTCCTTTGAAATATAATCAACAGCAATGCTGCTCAAAGTGCTGCTCAAAATTCCTGGGTTGGTGCCTGTCCCTGGCAGGTTTGCAGGAAAGAAGCTATTGTAACCAAACAGGCACAAATTTAGTATCGATCCCTAGTACATTGTGGCTTATGGATTTCATAGGATTTTCTTTGGCAACGAAGCCTTACTCGTTGCAGGATCCATTTATTTTTCCTTTTAATATTCAACAGTATTCATGGAACAGTTTTTAAGCACCACATCTCCCATGAGATGATTGTCTTCCTATCCGTTTGTTTCACTGCCCAGCTTTCACTATCCAGAAAAGTTATAGGTGCATTTATAGACCTTGAATGCTTTTCAACATTTTAAAAATATTTTCAAATGCTCTTACCTTCTCTAGGACTTGGCACTTCATATATTTCTCTATTGATCATTTTGACCATTTTCTGATCATTCTTCCAGGTTTGACCCAGTACAGCAGTGACCCACGCACAGAATGGGACCTGAATACATACGCCACACGGGATGATGTGTTAGAGGCCCTTAGGAGCTTGCGTTACAAAGGAGGCAACACATTCACAGGTAAGAGGAGTGTCTCCTTTTTTAAAGGAAGTGTGCCTCTTACCTGAACTTTAATTTTATGGTATATTTTGAGGGGCAGATAGTAGCCAGATACTTCCCCTAAGTCATGGGTTAACCTGGCTGTTCACTGAGCAAATGGAACTTTCTACACATATCTAAATAAGGGGAGAAAACCGATTTTGTGTATATTTGTTGTTTATTTTATGTTCCGGCATTGAATGTTTGCCATATATATGTTGTGTTCTGCCCTGAGTCCCCCTTGGGGTGAGAAACACAGAATATAAATTCTTTAAACAAACAAACAAACAAACAAACAAATATTGACATGTTTTCATAGAATCATAGAATCATAGAATCAAAGAGTTGGAAGAGACCTCATGGGCCATCCAGTCCAACCCCCTGCCAAGAAGCAGGAATATTGCATTCAAATCACCCCTGACAGATGGCCATCCAGCCTCTGCTTAAAAGCTTACAAAGAAGGAGCCTCCACCACACTCTGGGGCAGAGAGTTCCACTGCTGAACGGCTCTCACAGTCAGGAAGTTCTTCCTAATGTTCAGATGGAATCTCCTCTCTTGTAGTTTGAAGCCATTGTTCCGCGTCCTAGTCTCCAAGGAAGCAGAAAACAAGCTTGCTCCCTCCTCCCTGTGGCTTCCTCTCACATATTTATACATGGCTATCATATCTCCTCTCAGCCTTCTCTTCTTCAGACTAAACATGCCCAGCTCCTTAAGCCGCTCCTCATAGGGCTTGTTCTCCAGACCCTTGATCATTTTAGTTGCCCTCCTCTGGACACATTCCAGCTTGTCAATATCTCTCTTGAACTGTGGTGCCCAGAATTGGACACAATATTCCAGGTGTGGTCTAACCAAAGCAGAATAGAGCGGTAGCATTACTTCCTTAGATCTAGACACTATGCTCCTATTGATGCAGGCCAAAATCCCATTGGCTTTTTTTGCCGCCACATCACATTGGCTCATGTTTAACTTGTTGTCCACGAGGACTCCAAGATCTTTTTCACACGTACTGCTCTCGAGCCAGGGCACCCCATTCTGTATCTTTGCATTTCATTTTTTCTGCCAAAGTGGAGTATCTTGCATTTGTCCGTTGAACTTCATTTTGTTAGTTTTGGCCCATCTCTCTAATCTGTCAAGATCGTTTTGAATTCTGCTCCTGTCCTCTGGAGTATTGGCTATCCCTCCCAATTTGGTGTCGTCTGCAAACTTGATGATCATGCCTTCTAGCCCTTCATCTAAGTCATTAATAAAGATGTTGAACAGGACCGGGCCCAGGACGGAACCTTGCGGCACTCCACTTGTCACTTCTTTCCAGGATGAAGAGGAAGCATTAGTGAGCACTCTCTGTGTTCGTCCACTTAACCAATTACAGATCCACCTCACCGTAGTTTTGCCTAGCCCACATTGGACTAGTTTCCTTGCCAGAAGGTCATGGGGGACCTTGTCGAAGGCCTTACTGAAATCCAGGTACGCTACATCCACGGCATTCCCCGCATCTACCCAGCTTGTAGATCTATCGAAGAAAGAGATCAGATTAGTCTGGCATGACTTGTTTTTGATAAATCCATGTTGACTATTAGCGATGACGCATTTGTTTCTAAGTGTTTGCAGACCGCTTCCTTAACAATCTTTTCCAGAATCTTGCCTGGTATCGACGTGAGGCTGACCGGACGGTAATTGTTTGGGTCATCCTTTTTTCCCTTCTTGAAGATTGGGACCACATTGGCCCTCCTCCAATCTGCTGGAACTTCTCCCGTTCTCCAAGAACTCTCAAAGATGGTTGCCAATGGTTCCGAAATGACTTCCGCTAGTTCCTTCAATACTCTGGGGTGTAGTTGATTTGGCCCTGGGGACTTGAACTCATTAAGAGCGGCCAGGTATTCCTGGATGACTTCTTTCCCAATTTGGGGTTGGATGTCCTCCAATCCCTCATCCACTCCATCTTGCTGAGGTTGAAGACTCTCTTTTTGTGAGAAGACCGAGGCAAAGAAGGCATTAAGTAGTTCTGCCTTTTCCCTATCCCCTGTCAGCATGGCACACACTAATCATTGATAGGCATAGCTTCCACATTAGAAATTCAGTGAATCTCCTGTCTGTTTTATCCTGGAATTTGGAGTTGTCCAAGGTGCTGAAGTTATTCTGGGGAAAGGGTTCAGCACCCTAGATAGTTCTTTAAGTCTGGAATAAGACCCAGAATAGCTTCAAAACACTGTCAATATGGAAGCCACTGACATCTGTTTATTGTGTCTTTTGATTCAAATACAGCAACAATTCTTTCATCCATTTCAAGACATGCTATTGTTTTTTCAATTTATGGTGTTTGCTTTGCCTTCCTCTGACACTGAGGGAGTGTGATGTGCCTAAGGTCACCCGGTGTGTTTCCATGATCAAAAAGAGATTTAAACCTATACCCCAGGGTCATAATCCGGTGCTCCAATCACCACACCATGCTGGCTCTCACCTTAAAAACTAAGCAATGTAATATGGCATTGGTTTTGAGGATTTATAGACTTTTCCTACAATTGAACAATATAGGTCAATATTTAGAGAATATGTGCAAAATGTTAATATTTATTTTCTACTCTATTTGAATAAATCTTACAACAGGCAGTAGCAAAACAATAAACTCCCAATCTCTATTAGATTATGTGATATTGCAGTATGGTTGTTCCATTTGAATGACAGATTAATAAAAGTGAATGAACTTCAGATAAAGTAGTTTCTTAGGAAGGTCCTTTGTTAGTAGGATAATTGTTGAATATATGTTGATTTGCTTTCCAAAAGCCACTCTCAAAATAATTTAGAAGACCTTTAAAGGATATAGTAATTTTCAGTCCTTGTAATTTTCATACTGAAAGTATGCTTAAGGTCTGCAGGAGTTTCATCATTACAGAAAATGTCAAGAGGGTGATTGTCATTTATCTGATTTTTCAATTTGTGGCATAACATTCAAAGAAAGAAATCAGGAAACATCCTGTGGGTGATATCTGTTTATTGCTCTTTTTTTTTCTTTGCTTGCCATTAAACCATGTATTGTGACAGTTTTGTGGCTTTCACTCTCCTTACTTCTAAGGGCTGGCACTGACCCATGTCCTGGAGCACAATCTGAAAGCTGACACTGGGGCTAGATCAGAGGCTCCTAAACTGATCGTCCTCTTGACTGATGGAAAATCTCAAGATGATGCCAGCCCACCTGCACAGGTCTTGAAGAATATGGGGATTCAGATATTTGCTGTTGGTGAGTTTCAAAATCTATCTCCTTAGGTTTCTTAGGCTAAAAAAGGTATGAGACTTAAATACCAAGAGTATTAGAACCTTAATCTGAGATAGTCTGCTGAAATTCTTAGCAGTTCTAGTCAGGGCCGGCCCTAGGTAATTTTCAATGGTAAGCAAACATTATTTTGCCCCCCCCCCCCAAAAAAAACCCACAAAAACCAATCACTGAAAAATAAAAGGTAGAGGTGAATAAAGAGTTACCTTAAAACCAGAAGGTTACTTACATTATGTTCATATAGTTACATTACATAGAATTAACACAAATTAATGTTTTTTAAATGCAAATATTTTATTAAACTTGGCAACAATTTTAAGTTTTTGTTGTTATTTTTGATCTACAAGTATGACACAAAGGTTTCACAGAAAATACAAGATCTTTGCATTATGACAATTCCGCTGAGACAATTGAAGACAGAACAGCCCTTAATACATGCATACATATACATACACATACATACATACATGAACACACACACACACACACATATATATTTATTTTATTTGGAATTGCAAATTGCAATGCATTCCATCACACACACACTTAAATAAATATTCTGTGTTTACGGAACGAACGGCTTCCTTTCTGCAAGGACTTCTTCTAGAATGCATGGCAATTCCAAAGAAAATAAAATATTTTGGACCACAACAAGTAAGTCCACTGAGACAACTAAAGATAGAATAACCTTATCTATATAAATAAATATATAATTTTCGTTTGTGGGATTAACATAACTCAAAACCCGCTGGACGAATTGGCACCAAATTTGGCAGCAAAACACATACTAATCCAATCTATGTCTGTCAAACAAAAAAATCTCTGGCTGCTTCTCATTACTTTATTTTGCATACCACCACACTACCCCAGGGTGCTATTATTATTATTATTATTATTATTATTATTATTATTATTATGAGTCTAAATGGCCATCTATCAGGAGTGTTTCAATTGTGCTTTTCGCTTATGCCAGAAGGAAGTTGGATTGGATGGACCTTGGAGGTCTCCCTACTTTATGATTCTATTACTATTATTAATAATAGTATTATTATTAAGCAGAGTCTCTATGGCCATCTGTTAGGAGTGCTTGGATTGTGTTTTTCCCTTATGGCAGAAGGAGGTTGGACTGGATGGCCCTTGGAGGTCTCTTGCAACACTAGGATCCTATTACTGTGAATTCCTCCCAAACCCCTCCAGAGTTTTCTGCTGGTCATGGAGGTTCTGTGTGCCAAGTTTGGTTCAGATCTGTCATTAATGGGAGTTTTAATGGTCTGTGGAAGTCTGAGCTGAATCAGTTGAAGGTACTCCAAATCCCATCAGCTTGATTAGCATTCAATGGCCTTGCAGACAAGAGTCAATCAAGGCCAGCTAATATGTCTTAACAATGGATTCCCCCGGGCAGGAAGCAGCCAGGCTTTGAAGCTGCAAGGTTATTTGCTGCATCAGAAGCAAACCAAGGGTAAATTTGTAATGTATATAGAAAACACAAAGTTTAAAAACTTGGCATCCAGCTGCAAGGTCATTCAGTGCTAATCAAGGTGGCCAATGGCAACACTCACACTTGCCTCAAGCAGGCAAGAGTCCTTCTTCCCACTCTGGACATCATTCCACAGGGATATATATAAACCCCACTTGCCTAGTTTCCAACAGAGTTCCCAACCTCTGAAGATGCCTGCCATTTATAACACATAACAATCTAATAAATATAAATAATTCATGTTAAAAATAATAACGTAATAAATAATAATTGTAAATAGAATAATAAATATAATAAAATATAATAATAATAGTAATAATTCCAAAGCTGAGAAGGAAATGGGGGCGAGTCAGTTTCCAACAGACCTCCCAATCTCTGAGGATGCTTGCCACTGATGTGGGTGAAACGTCAGGAGAGAATGCTGCTGGAACATTTTGAGCCTTCCAGGCGAAGCAGAGGCTTCAAAGGGTAGAGAGAAGAGCATGGAGTGGGGCAACAGCAGCAGCGAGGTCTTCCCCTCTTCTCCTCCAGGGTCTTCCTCCTCTCCGTTTGGAGATCCCCAAATGGAAAGGAGGAAGAAGAGCCCAGAGGAGAAGGAGATGGCCAAGCCTCGCTGCTGCTGCTGCCCCACGCTCCTCTTCTCGCGAGAAGAGGGGCGAGAAGAGAGCAGCAGCAGCAGCAGCAGCGAGGTCTTCCCCCCTTCTCCTCCAGGGTCTTCCTCCTCCTCCTCTCCATTTGGAGGTGTCTAAACGGAGAGGAGAAGGAAGAAGCGCCCAGAGGAGAAGGAGATGGCCAAGCCTCGCTGCTGCCCCACACTCCTCTCGCCGCTCTACAAGGTGCACGGGGCATGAGGGGAGGGAAAGGCGTGCACCTTTCTCTTCTCCCTCGCACGCCTTTCCTGCCTCTGCCGCCAGGAAAGGCACATGCGGGGCGAGAGGGGAAGAGCAGAGGCGCGCGCCTTTCCCTTCCCTCTTGCTCCATGCGCAGCTTTTCTGCCTCCTCCTGCCGTTGTCCCCGCCACCGTGCGTGGGACGAGGCCCAATTGGAGGAGCATTTAAGGAGGCGCATGAGCGCCCCTGGGAAAAACAAAGTGTTCCGCGGTCGCTTACTTCGCGTAATGGAAAAACCGGCCCTAATGCAACTTCACCTAGTATAAATGTGGAAACCAAGGACTAGTAATGGTTTGCTATTCTTTATAGCAGGAGATGAAAATGGTGTTTGGTTTTGTGGCCTCTGAAGTCACCAAGAGACATCTAGATTTCATAGGTTCTAGTCCACCATGCTCTTGGTTGAGATCCTAAATATAGGGCTGTGTACTGTAAATATCCAAATGTGGAGTTAGAAATTAACTGTGTCACGCACCGCATATGTACAGGGGCAATGCACAGTTGAACCAAGATAGACAAGCCAATCTGCTATGACACATCTTAAGATTCTTAATTGTGTAATTATATTAGAGTAAATGACTTATTCTACTCATACATAAATCTGAAAATTTTAATCAACAAACTCCCTTTAGAAGGAAAAGGAAACATATCCTTCTCTGAGTGAAGTGCCCAAGGCAAGAGTTTAGTCTGGTCCAGGGAAACCTAAAAGAAGTACTGACCACATCTATTTTTTTCACTGCAGCATCACTGGTCTGGAAAATTATGGTCGCCAATGGCAGCTGAACCTCTAAGGCAGTATTGATGCTTTCTAGTCTCCACGGAATGATAGTCAACTTATCCACATATCATACCAAAATTCATAATGTTGGCTCCTAAATCTGCATGAAGTTGACTTATACATGAGGTTGATTTACACAAAGATATAGTATGTGTTTGATCTATGGAGCTTCTTCAAAGGGTTGCTTAGAATCAAGTTACAGAACATTATGATCCAGGATACTCCAAACTCAATAAATAGTTTTCCGGTCCAGTAACTAATCCCCACCCTATCCAGGAAATGGATCAGAAATTTCTGAAATTCTAGTCTAAATAGCCTGATGAAGAAGGTTTTAAGAGCACCTGTCAACCAAAACACATCAGGTTTTTCTACTTATAAACATACCATTTTCTCAGCATTGTGAGATGTCTCTTTTGTTTCTCTTGTTGATTCTATTCACCACTGCCCAGTTTTTTTGCTTCATAAGACACCAGTAGGTCTCTGCCTATTGTCTATGTCACCAATCTGCACATTTATTTCGTAGGAGTGAAAAATGCAGATGAGACAGAGTTGCGCCAGGTGGCCTCAGAACCTTTGGAGCTGACTGTATACAATGTACTGGACTTCCCTCTTCTGAGTTCTCTTGTCGGACGCCTTACCCGTGTCTTATGTGCTCAGATCAAGGTGAAGAACAAGGATGAGAATGCAGGTGAAGACCACCACTTATGCTACCTGTCTCCTGGCTTTTCATTCATTTCTTTTCTTTCTTTTGCAAACTCCCACAATCACTCAACTTTTTCTTTCTATCCAAGTCCCCAGACTCTGAGCCAATGAGAAAAATAACCAGAATTGAATGGAATAGAAAGGTTTAATTTTGGGATATAAATGTGAGGATCATTCTTCTGTAAAATGCAAAACACTGTTTAATCTGTTTCTATTTCAACTGATGCATTATTGGAATGGATTGGAATCTGTCTTTGATCAGAGGTGAATTTCATTTTTGCCTGAAAACAACATATCTTCCTACTGTACAAATAGTTTTCCATATTTGTGGTTTTAACTTTTGCAGATTTAGTAGACCCTTTGTCTAAAGGAATCTCTAGGTAGTTCGCATGATACTATGGTGAACACCCAGCAAAGATGACCTAGAATTGCACTGTGGAAGATCCAGAGATTCCTCAAGTTTCTTTTTGTAAAAAGTTTTTAAAAATGTGGGTTTTGTGCTCCAGCCCCATCAACAGTCTAGGACCTTCTGCAATAGTACTTGTTTTGGGTTGTTGTGAATTTTCCATGCTGTATGGCCATGTTCCAGAAGCATTCTCTCCTGACATTTCACCGGCATCTATGGCAGGCATCCTCAAAGGAGTTCCCCAGTCAGTAAGAAACCAGACCTTGAAACTGCTAGGCCATTAAATGCTAATCAAGGTGGCCAATTGCAACATTCACACCTACCTCAAACAGATAAGAGTTCTTTCTCCCACTGTGGACATTGCACAGATATATAAACCCCATTTTCCTAGTTTCCAACAGACCTCACAACCTCTGATGATGCCTGCCATACATGCAGTTAAACGTCAGAGGAGAATGCTTCTGGAACATGGCCATACAGCCCAGAAAACTCACAACAATCCAGTGATTTTGGCCATGAAAGCCTTCGACAATGCAGTACTTGTTTTCTTTACATTTGGAAAATTGTTTTGCTTTCAAAAATAATTTAGAACATTGCCATATAGCCCGAAAAAACCTACAACAACCCAATTTAGAATAATTTCCTTGCAATGGTAGCTGTGAGAATATACCACTCATAAATCATATCAATAAATACATTTAGGTACCTGATTTATGCTTTCAGATTCTTCAGGATTCTTTGACCTGCTTTCCACTTTTTACCCCAAATAGAATTGACATATTACATTAATGGAGCCTATTGACTTACCATGTTCCCACTAAATTATTTTAATGTAGTTGTTACCAACATTAGGTCTTGTTATGTCCTATTTTAGTCTCAGAACAATCCTGAGAGCTATTGATTGCCCTACTGCCTTTATCTAGCAAGCATCATGTCTGTGTGTCACCTTGATCTCCAGCCCAAAATAAAATTGTAATCATCCTCCAAATTTGCAGGCAAGCCAGTAAAGGCCATTCCAGTGACTACTGGTGCCCATCTGAGCCCAACCAATCTTGTTTTAAAAGAGGTTACTTCCAGAAGTCTCCGTCTCACCTGGAACCCTCCTGTGATACCACCCAAAAAATACAGAGTTGTCTACTACCCTTCTAGAGGTGGGACTCCCAAAGAGGTAAATGATTCTTATGGCTTTGATGGCTTTGGCTGAAATATGTTTTTTTTTCTGGTGCAGATCAAAAGCAGCCATATTTGCAGCCTGACCCCTGGAAATGTGTTTGAGTACAACTGTGCGGTTGGACTATAGCTATGGGCATGCTCGCTATTAGTGGTGGAAGTTGTAGTACAACTTCCAGGTTATGAGAATGATTGCTGGAGACAATCATGCATTTATTTTGTGCATAGCATTGGTGTATTTTATGGGGCCATAGAAGAAGAGCATATTGTTTACTCCAGGGTCACTGAACCCATGTCAGGTTTTAAATCAAATTGAATTAAGTTGTTAGGGATGTAAGTCTTCAATAACTTGCTTCTCAGAATCAACAATAAGTACTTTTAGGCATGTTTTCCCTTTCTTTTGAACCACATTTACAATTCAGGACTTATTTTGAGTAGAATTCACACATGGTTGTTGTACACTGAAAACATATATTTTTGTAGTCAACAGCTCTATCTGCACACAAAAAAAATATTCCTGTGTAGAAACATTATTTTCTCTGAATAAAATGCTGTCTCCTAACATGCTGGCCTCATGTGAATTTTGCACACCATAAGTCCCTAATTATAGGATTTTCTATAAGAGAATGTAAAAAAAAAGTATTTTTGCATAGAAATATTTTCTGTAGAGAAAATTCTATTTCCTCTGCAGAAAATCCTTTTTTTCTGTGCAAACCACCATGTGCAAATTTTATGCAGAATAAATTCTGAACTGTGAAGATTGTCATTAGTATAAGAGTCTTCTATTCACGTTTTGAGAAAACAGTATGGAAGGTTTTTGACCATTTTTCAAACATTTTCCCAAATTATTTCCTGCCCTTGAAGCTATCCAAGCCTATCCCCAGTCCATGGCATCTTCATGCAATCTTTTGTACATTTTAGGTGGTTTTAGATGGGACAACCTCCAGTGCACAGCTCCTCAACCTGACATCACACACAGAATATCTGGTTTCTGTGTTTCCTATTTATGAGAACGCTGTTGGAGATGGACTCAGAGGCATCACTTCAACCTGTAAGTCAGCATTCGACACTATTATGTTCAAGTACTTAGTATAGATTGAGTACTCCTTATCTGAGATGCTTGGGACCAGAAGTGTTTGCGATTGTGGATTCTGCCCCCAATTTTGAGATCTCTGTTTTTGTGTATACTAGCAGTCACCGAGATACAAACATCCAAATTACAAATGACTCATAGTTAAGAACAGGGGTAAGACAGCAGGAAGTGAGAGAAATCTACCCCTAGGAAGGGAAATTCAGTACTGAAAGAGTTTTCATGGAGAAAAGGGGTCTCCACTGAAGCTTTCTCACCAATCCTTGTTTCCACAACAAGCCATTTTTTTCAAAATCCAATTGTCACAGGGACAGAAAGTGGGGTGAAATCTTCAAACAGAGGCACAGACAGCAAAAGAAACATCATAGGAGTTACACTTAAAATGTACCTATTCTGACTTATAAACAAATTTAACTTAAGGTCAATCCTATAGAACCTACTTATGTCCGTAACTTGGGAACTACCTGTACAGGGATTCATATACAAAAAACCTAAAGGTAATATTATGCACCATGCACTTGGGCTGCAACATTTGCAAGTTTAACTATTGCAGATTTGATTATTCACAGATTTGATAAAAAATGTTTTCTCTTGGACTTTCCAAATCCTCCATTGGAAGTTGACCATAGAATCATGCAGGCACACCTAGAGATTCCCAGAGAGAACATTTCTGGCACTCTCTAGTCCCTCCAGTGTGATTCTATGGGCAACATCTGATGGAAGTCGGCCACAGAGTTGTGCTGGATGGTCTAGAGGAGTGGTTCTCAACCTGGGGTCCCCAGATGTTTTTGGCCTTCACCTCCCAGAAATCCAACAGCTGGTAAACTAGGCCAAAAACATCTGAGTACCCAAGGCTGAGAACCTCTGGTCTAGAGATTCTTTCAAACAAACAAACCCACCTTTTTGTATGTATGGGTTTTTCCACTTCTGTGAGGGTCCTGTGCCTTTAACTTCAGCACATGTGGAGGGCTAGCTAGTAAAGTACTTCTAATGATGTTGTGCATGAAACAAAGTTTGTGAACCACCAGAAAGCAAAGGTTTCATTTTTCCAGCCACTAACACAGACCATTCTGAATTTTGGAGTATTTCAGATTTTGAAATTGCAGATAAGGGATGTTCAATCTTAATACTGTGTTGTCGAAGGCTTTCATGGCCAGAATCACCACATTGCTATAAGTTTTCCGGACTGTATGGCCATGTTCCAGATGCATTCTCTCATGCTTCTGGAACATGGCCATACAGCCCTGAAAACTCACAGCAACCCAAGCTTTATAATATAAAGCAAATTGACTGATGCATGTAATCAAAATACACACAACTGAAAAACAATATTAAACTAAAATAAAGCTTTGTAAAACAAAACAGTTGTTTTGATTCAGCTTTAGGCCTTAATAACTGGAGAGGAAATTAGCTGGAGAGGCGGCTTTGGCTGTTCTACCTCCATGTGGGTTTAAAGTCATTTTTAAAGAGGAGTTTTAATGTCTTTTACATGTTTCTCTTTGTGTACTAATGATTTTAAATGTTTATATCCATTGTATATGGCCTCAGGGGCCCTGGTGGTTTGAGAGAAATAGACAAATGCTTTCACATTTCTTTCTTTCTTTATATATGTGTGATGATTAATCTAGTTAATAACTCAGTTTTTGTGCTAAGATAAAATCTGGCAGAATATCAAAACCCACCAGATTAACCCAACAAAAGCTTAATAGCTGCCGAGGGGAATACATTTCATACTTTACCGAGATCCTCATCCTACCAGTGGCATCCAAGTCCCAAATAAATTGTGTTCTCATTTAAATTGCAATGCAGATCTATTTATTTTGTGTAATTTCTCCAGAAACCCAATTTTCACTGAAAATAAATTTTCATAACAAGTAATCCAGTGTTATGCCTATTACACAAGGGCTTGTTTTCAGAAAACAAACGTTTAGGTTTTGCGGTGCATTGACCATGAGAAAATGCTTTCCTTGATCTTTTCTGTTTTATCTCTTTAGTGCCTCTTTCTCCACCTGGTTCCCTCCGAGTTTCCGAAATCAGCCACAACAGCATAAGACTGACTTGGGAGGCAGCGGATGGAGCGACCCAGTATCTTGTTCTTTGTTCCTCAGCACCCACCGGAGCACAGGATGACACCAAAGAGGTCAAGAATATTGTTTTAATTGTATTGTCGAAGGCTTTCATGGCCGGAATCACTGGGTTGTTGTAGGTTTTTTCGGGCTATATGGCCATGGTCTAGAGGCATTCTCTCCTGACGTTTCACCTGCATCTATGGCAAGCATCCTCACTACCTCTGAGGATGCTTGCCATAGATGCAGGCGAAACATCAGGAGAGAATGCCTCTAGACCATGGCCATATAGCCCGAAAAAACCTACAACAACCCATTGTTTTAATTCTACTCTCGATTGCCTCTGCTGTGTTGTTCTCTCCATATGTTCAAGAGAAAATGGGGGGAAGAAAATAGACTTTTTTTGGGTTACAGCTCCCAAGATCCCCAAAAAGCAATTATGGTGACTATGTACCTGGAAGATTCCGGGACTTGCAGTAAAAAAGGAGATCTTTTCCAAGCCCTGGGGCAGCATCAAGCAGTTGGTTACATATTCTGTCATCAACACACTCCCAACACTCTATGGAAGAAGTAAGCACAAGGTTGGAGAAATGTGGTAGTCTCAACCTCTAACATGGGATTATCAACCAACCACTATAATCTCTCCCAAATCATCCAAACCCATTGGATTATCATGGTTGGTGTTCATGCAGTTCTGTCTGGTGATCAGAAGGTGGCAGCAGATAAGATATAATGAGCAAAGAGTATGCAGAATAGCTAAACTATAAATAGAAAACAAAGCTTTCCCCTGCATACTCTGGTCTCAAGGCAAATGTTTGATGGAGATCCTGCAACTGTTGTTTAAGGATTCAGAGTGATTAAGGCTGCCAAATCGGTCCCAAATCCTCTTCCCTTTTTTTCCTTGTAGGGCAAACCGTTTTGCATCACAAAGGCCCAGGAAAGGAGCGATTTTGCTGGGCATCTGTTGCCTCTTGCTTTGGAGCTATCTTCTTTAGTGAATTTTCTGCTGAGGCCATGTTAGCTTGAGGCAGTGAACTTTACTTTCTCTAAAAAGAAACCTTATGGGAGAGGATGTCTCTGTGTTCCAATATCTTGGGTGTTTCAGAGGTTTTTCCTTTGCCAGGTAATAGTAAAGGCAAATGTTGGCAAATATAAAACAACCCAAGATGCACGAAAGAGGGATGCCTTTATTAGCCAAGCAAAATATATTATGCAAGACTTCAGAACTTCTTCATCAGGCAAAATATGATTTTTAAAAAATCATATGGGGAAGAAAAGTGATGATGTTAGAATCACAGACCTACATTTCATATATATGACCAATATGTGGTTGATTTTTGTTAAATTGGCACACAGAAGACTGGGCAACTTGGAAGGTGCTGAACAGACTGTGCTCTGGCACCATGATACAGAGCCAAACTTAAGAAATAATACCACAAAGTAGAGTCCATGACATGTGAGTGTGGAGAAGAGCAAACCACAGACCACCTACCACAATGCAACTTGAGCCCTGCCACATTCACAATGGAGGACCTTCTCACAGTGACACCAGAGGCACTCCAAGTGGCTAGCTTCTGGTCAAAGGAATGCCAAGTTTTTAACTTTGCTTGTGTCTTTTTAAACACATTATAACTGTATTCTCAATTTGCTCCTGACATGATAAATAAACGACTTGTTAAATTTCATGACATTTCAAAATCATGGAGTGAATTATTGTTATGAAAGATTTGGCAACAAATGAGGATCAGTCTTCGAATACTGTTCAGTAGCAGATGTCATGCAAATATCTCTATGTGGATGCTTTAGAATTGTTTTGGTATGTTTCAACTAGCTTTAATTTGTCATTTTTAACTTGTTTTATTGTTGGGTATGTGTTTTTGCTTGTTGACATAACATTTTCTTTTTTAAATAGGGTAACATTGCCATGGGAGTCTATGATTTAGGGTGCATCTACACACAAAATTAATGCGGTTTGATAGCATGTTAACTGCCATGGCTCAATCATGGGAACTTTATTTGGTTGTATTAGTCTTCTATGCCAAAAAATGCTGGTATCATGCCAAACTAGGATTTTATAGCATTGAGCCATAGCCATTAAAATTGTGTTGAACTGGATTCATTCTGCAGTGTACAGCCAGCTTAAGAGCAAAATATAGCTGAAGCTATCCAAAGTGCTTGGTTCGATTCAGCACTTTGGACAGTTCTTTTAGACTAGCATTCAGTATGAATTTAAAACCTGCAATAATATCAGTGCTACCAGCTGCCACTGTCTGAGTTACTTCTGCATGCAGATCACCCATTGAAAGATAAGCAAATGATACATAAGTAAAAGCATCACAGTTCTTTAGTTGTTTGGGACCAGGATCCCTTTGCAACCAGTAGTAGAGCTGAGTGCCAAACAAAGAATTCTACCTATAGTATCACATAGTTGACACTCCAGTTGACATCATGGTTATCTAAGTGGGATTTCTGAGTAGGAGTACACCCCATGAAAGACCTTTGGAAGATAGTTTATATAATGTAGAAGCAAACACATATAGCTATGAGATCTAATCAAGCAGAAGGCTATGAAGGTTTGCTCCCTGTTCAGCTTCCAGCTTTCAGATCCTTTCTCAAGTTTCAACAAACAAGCTAAACTTGAACTATCAAGCTTCTTCTTTTTCTTGCATGCCTTCAAGTCATGTTTGACTTATCACAACCCTGTCATGAGTTTTTCTGGGGCTGAGAGTATGTGCTTCAGCCAAGACTACCCAATGGACAAGCAAGGAACTGAATGAACCTTGATCTCCAGAGTCATTGTTCAATGCGGAAACTACTATACAACATTGGTGTTGTACCTAGCAGTGCCTACTAAATTCAAGCTAAACCTCTCTATGCCATTAGGGAGCTTTCATGCTTGGCTGAAAAGAACACTAACGTCTTTATGTCTGATGGCATAGAAAATACTCATAATATTTCCTTTGATTTTTAGGTGAAAGTAAGACAGTCTGAAGTTCTGCTTGAGGGTTTGTCTCCCAACACTGAATATTCACTAGCAGTCTATGCAATGTATGGAGAAGATGCCAGTGATCCAGCAAGTGTTCAGGAAACCACCTGTAAGTTATATAGTTTGACTGAGTATTTGATTGATATTATAGTCTTCCTCTTTACAGTCCCGAATGTGTGTTTTTATATACACATCCCTAAAACAATATGCAGTCCCTTGCAGCAATATTCACACACCCAAATTTTCACATTTGTTACATCACATAGAATAATAGAATCACAGAGTTGGAAGAGACCTCATGGACCATCCAGTCCAACCCCCTGCCAAGAAGCAGGAAAATCATATTCAATGCACCCTGACAGATGGCCATCCAGCCTCTGCTTAAAAGCCTCCAAAGAAGAGGCCTCCACCACACTCCGGGGCAGAGAGTTCAACTGCTGAACAGCTCTCACAGTCAGGAAGTTCTTCCTAATATTCAGGTGGAATCTCCTTTCTTTCCTGTAGTTTGAAGCCATTGTTTTGCATCGTAGTCTCCAGGGCAGCAGAAAACCAGCCTCCTCCCTATGACTTCCTCTCACATATTTATAAATGGCTATCATGTCTCCTCTTAGCCTTCTCTTCTGAAGGCTAAACATGCCCAGTTCTTTAAGCCGCTCCTCATAGGGCTTGTTCTCCAGACCTTTGTTCACTTTAGTCGCCCTCCTCTGGACACATTCCAGCTTACAACCTAATATACACAAGATGTTCAACACTGTGAGATGCAAAATAGTTTTGTTGTGGCACAAAATGAGCTAAATTCTGACATTTGTTGCTAAAGTTTATTCAGGATCTTGTTTTAATCTTGACTTTTTGTTTAGGGAAACATCATGATGTTTGTTTTAAAATTGATTAACTATAATAGGTTATTTAATGTTTTTAAGGGTTTAAATTATTTATATTTAATAGTTTCATGTTTAATTCTATTTGAGCATTTATATGTTGGATGTTTTAAATTGCACATTGTATTGTTTTTAGCACTTTTAGCCCATTTTAGGATCTTTTAAGAGAAAAATAGGCTATAAATATAATTACGGCTACTACTCTAGGTTTTCTTAGAGAATTTCTGGGAATTTTAGACATATTATATGTTTCACAGACTTCTAAGAACTGTCTCGCATAGATAAAGTAAAACCCATAATAATGCTTTATTCCAGTGGCCCTGAGCCCTCCAAAACATCTGCTTTTCTCCAACATCAGTCACGCTTCTGTCCAGGTCAATTGGGAGGCAGCATTTGCTGCAGTGAAAGCACATCGTATAACTTATGTCTCTAGCAGAGGAAGCAATAGTGGAGAGGTGAGTATCTCTACAACTGAAAAAAGCCCATCGTTCAACACTGCGTTTTTTTAAAAGCACTCCAGTATTTAGCCCAGTACATCTAAGATCTCCTCAACAGAACACAAAAGTAATAGTATTTTCTTGTGATTTACTCTACCATTGGGATTCAAAGGTGCATTGCCTCTGGAAATAGATTTAACTATGAGCAGCAGCTATTGCTGGCCTGTCCAATAAATACAGGTTCAGCCAAGTTTTGACCTGAGAACTAGCCACACACATAATTCTGTTTTGTGGAATGATAATCTATGTGGGAAAGCCATCCCACATTTTGGATGTTACTGCAGGATGAGTTTCCCCTCATCTGGAATTCCAAAATACTCCAAAATCTGAACTTGTCCACATTCCTGGCTGATACGTAGTAACACCTTTGCTTTCTGATGGTTCAGTGCACACAAGCTTTGCTTCTAATTATTCAATTATTATTTGTTGTTCATTCGTTCAGTTGCTTCCAACTCTTCATGACCTCATGAACCAGCCCATGCCAGAGCTCCCTGTCGGCTGTCACCACCCCCATCTCCTTCAAGGCCGTCACCACCCCCAGCTCCTTCAATTATTATATATTGATTGATATTAGCCTCAAACTCTGGGGAAAAGATGTATACAAAATATAATCAATTCCATGTATTCTCTTGCGGTCCTCTTTCTAAGATATCTCATTATGTACATATATGTAAATACAGGTCTTGGAAATCTGGAAAAAAAATCTGGAGTCCAAAACACTTCTGGTCCTAAGCATTTTGATAAGAGATACTCAACCTGATAATATCTGAAGAAGGGCATTTTGCTTAATATTCTTGTTGGGCAGTGTTTCTCAGCCTTCCTAATGCAGTGACCCCTTAATACAGTTCCTCATTAAGGGGTCACCAGTCACCACAACAATACAATATTTTCGTTGCTACTTCATAACTGTAATTTTGCTACTGAGATGAATTGTAATGTAAATATCTCATATGTAGGATGCATTTCATTCGCTGGACCAAATTTGGCACAAATACCCCAGACACCCAAATTTGAATACTGGTGAGGTGGGGGGTTGATTTTGTCATTTGGGAGTTGTTGTTGCTGGGATTTATTTTTCACCTACAATTAAGGAGCATTCTGAACTCCACCAATGATGGCATTGAACCAGACTTGGCACACAGAACTCCCATGACCAACAGAAAATAGTGGAAGGGTTTGGTGGGCATTGACCAATTGAGTTTTGGAGTTGTAGTTCACCTACATCTAAACAGTGATGGATTTGGACCAAACTTGGCAGGAATACTCAATATGCCCATATGTGAACCCCGGTGGAGTTTGGGGAAAATAGACCTTGACATTTGGGAGTTGTCATTGCTGGGATTTATAGTTCACCTACAATCAAAGAGCATTTTGAACCCCACCAACAATAGAATTGGGTCAAACTTCCCACACACATGCACACAATAGAATTGGGTCAAACTTCCCACTCCTTAACCAACAGAAAATACTCAGTTGTAGGTGAAGAGAAGGAAAAGTGAAATCCTCAAATAGTGTGAATGTAAGTGAAAAAAATATTTCTAGAAACACGGACTAACATACTCTTAATAGAACCAGAGTTAGACAGGATGACCAGGGCTGCATTTATCTACATTGCCCTATATTCCAGAATCTGATCCCAGAGTATCTGTTTTGAACTGGATTATATGAGTCTCCACTGTCATATAATCTGGGATAAGAAGATAATCTGGCATTGGATCTTGGGATATAGGGCAGCATAGAAGGGGCCTAGGGCATTTAGTCTGATCTCCACGCAATATGAGAATCCACGGTATGGTACTCTGATCCATGGCTGCTCAACCTCTGTTTAAATACTCACAACAAAGGACAACCCAACATCTTTCATTAGTTTCCATTGAACAGCTCTGTCATCAGGAAATGGTTCCTCATGTGTAGTTGGTAAGTCCTTTTCTACAATTTGAATCCTTTGGAGATACTACTCTTCTGTGGAACAGCCAAAAACAAGCTGACTGTCTCTCACATGAAATTTCTTTTGATGTTTATAGATGACTGTCATATCACTTCTGAAACTTCTCTTTGCCAGGATAAATGTACAGAGCCCCTTCCACCATTCATCATTGTTTTGTATTAGATGTACAAGGGCTGAATGAGAAGTAATGCCTCCACCTTCGTTACTTGGGTTTGGATGGGAATATTTTAATCATCATCACCATCATCATCATCATCATCTTTATACCCTCCACCACCTCCCTAAGGGACTCAGAGCAGCTTTCATGAGGCCAAGCCCAACAGCACATCAGTAAAAACAACAAGCAATAAGCAAATAAACAATACAATTAATATAATTCAGATGTAAACAATAGCATGCAAAGATTTAAAAACCTATGGCTGGGCCAGATGTCATAGTTAAAATTTTAAAAATAAAAATAAACGCTGGGCATGAAGAGAGGTAGGATGTATCTAGTAGGAGGGTCATAAACAAAATGTATTAATGTATTAATAAATCAAATGCAGAAATAATCCTTAGAATGTGCTCTTTAACTACCACTATTCACTTTTCCACATAATCACCAGACAATTGGATACCTTTCTGCCAACAATTAAGAAGTTTTCTGAAGCCGCCACGGAAGAAGTCGACACTCTGTTTCCGCAATCCATTGTGCACAGATCTTCCGATAGCAAAACAAAGCTATAATGTGACCCACACGTTCTTGTGAAATGCCGATTATGCTTGAAATTTCACTCCGAGTGATACGAAGATAACCCTGAATCAATCTGTCAACCTTTTGCTTGTTAAACTCAGTGGTTGCTGTCACAGGACATCCAACTCTTTCAGATGTTCCCACCTCAACATCTTTAAACTTACTCGCTCAACAACGCACAGTACTCACATCAACACAATCACCATAAACAGCTTGCATTCTCTGATGAATCTCCTTTGTGGTGACACCTTCTGCTGTCAAGTATTCAATGACTGCACATTGCTTAAGTCACATTGACCGACCATCTGCGAAGAGTTTCATACTTCGCACTTTAACAACAGTACTGTTCAATGCTGAGGCTTCCTACCAAAACTGAACTGTAGAGGTGAATCTACTGAACAAGCCAGTACCTGCCATATACCGGTACTGCCATTTGTTGAGGAGTTATGAAGGTGGAGGCATTACTCTTCATTCAACCCTCATAGTTCACAGGGGTGGAGGAAAGAATCATAGAAGTAATAGGCTAAGAGAGAAAGCCTAGAAGAAATAGGGTAAGAAAGAAACTTTCTTTCAATGTTACTAAAGCCATAGCAAACAATACTGAAATAGAATCCACAGTTGTGCTTGAAAGCTCCAACCTAACACTTATTTCATCTCAGGTGGAGGTTCCAGGCAACACATCATTTGTGATGCTGAAGCCCCTCTCATCCCTGACGCAGTATTTTGTCAGTGTGATATCCGTTTACGATGAAGGTGACTCCTTTCCAATAACAGGCAATGTTACGACATGTAAGTAAGAGGCGAGTTGTGAGATCACTAAGCTTTAAATGGCACAGCTTTTAATAAAATCCAGATGAGCAAAGGAGTTGCTATTTAAGTCCTGACTGTTTGTCGAACTCAGACAATTAGAATACCATCACCGTGGTTTTGTGCTTCCAGATTCCTGTCGAGATTAAAATTATTGCTCAGTGAAAGGGATTTCTCCCCTTATATTAACCATAATTTGACCCACACTGATTGTAATGTTCTCTATTGAAAAATGTGTGAACTCCTACTGTTACTTTTAAGCATTTCAGGCAGATTTCCAAAGACCTGGTACTTTCTTCAACCTTGTAATCCCCATATAGTTTACACAGTAACTCCCACCACTGCTGGCTATTGTTCCTGTTGTCTGAGGCTGATAGCAAATATAGCCCCACACATTGAGGGAGCAGTAGGCATGGGGAGGCATTGTCTGCTATGGCACTCTGGCTGTGTAATCTCATTCCCTTGGAAAATTGTCCTGCACCAAAACTATATTCTCCAATGTCTCAATTTCGCAAGGGCAGTCCTGATTAATCCTATGTCAACCCACTTTGTCAGCAGCTTTTAAAATGTCCCAGTCTTTCATTCCATCACCTCAATTTCCCCTTTATTATCAGCTTACTTAAATTGCTTCAAACTGAGCTCATATTGCAAAGGTATTTCATACTTATTTAACTCATCTGGGAGTGATGAATAGGAGTGATTCCTGGCTTTCCCCAGTAGATTCAATCAAAAGCAAACTACTGCATCTATTCCTAAACCTTAGATTCCTTTTTATTAATAACTTCTGCCATCTGGTTAATACTCTGATGTTGCTTTGACACGTGTGCCCTACTTTTAATCTCTAAAATGTTGAAAAGTATGAAGCACCTGTTGACTGTTCTCCAAACTTCATTGGAGCCAGAGATTATAGCATGGCTAGGTTAAAGTGTTATGGAAAGTGTATACCATATGCAGTCTTGTAAATGTGTTGTTGAAGTCTTTCATGGCCAAAATCATTAGGTTTCTATGAGTTTTCCGGGATATATGGCCATGTTCCATGAGCATTTTCTTCTGACGTTTCGCCTGCATCTATGGCAGGCATCCTTAGAGGTTGTGAGGTATGTTGGAAACTATGCAAGTGGGGTTTATATATGCATATCTGTGGAATGTTCAGGGTGGGAGAAAGAACTCTTGTCTGTTTGAGATAAGATAAACCAATAAGAGTTATCTTACCCTGAACTTTCCACAGATCTATAAACTCCATTTTCCTAGTTTCCAACATACCTCACAACCTCTGAGAATGCCTGCCACAAACACAGGTGAAGCGTCAGGAGAAAATGCTTCATGGAACATGGCCATACAGCCTGGAAAACTCACAGCAAACCCTAACTCTAACCCTAACCTATTTTCCTAGCTTCCAACATACCTCACAACCTTTGAGGATGCCTGCCATAGATGCAGGTGAAACATAAGGAGAAAATGCTTATGGAACATAGCCATACAGCCCGGAAAACTCACAGCAACCCAGTCTTGTAAACAATGTTACATCATTATAGATTATTTTAAACCTTCTTACGTTTTACATTGTTTTAAATTGTTTTTTTTTTTTGCTATCTCTCTCTCATTTGTAGAGCCTTTGCTATTGGATAGTATAGAAATGTTTACATAAGTAGGCGAAAGAAAACGCTGTGATATTTTGGCCTTAGGGTCACCATAAATCAGAAACAACATGAAGGCACATAAGAAGAGAGTTTAACTCTCTGTCCCCACTCCTTGATCCATGAAGATGAAGCCCTCTCAGGCTTGATCTACACTAAGCCCAGGATCTGAACTCATATTATATATTTATCCCAGTTTATCTGGAAGTGTAGACTCATATAATCCAGTTCAAAGCAGATCCTCGTATATAAGGCAATGTAGATCCAGCCTCAGATGGTTCTCTTTAGGTCCCCTTCTACACTGCCATATAAAATTCAGTTTACCTACTTTGAACTGGATTATATGGTAGTGTAGACTCATATAATCCTGTTCAAAGCAGATAACATCAATTATCATCTTTGATAATCTGGATTATATGGCAATGTAGAAGGGTTTTAGGACTATTTGCTTGAGGTCCCATTTATCTTTGTTGGCACCTCACTTGTCTGTCCCAGTCAGGCAGCAAAGATAGGCCGTAAGGAAAAGTAGTTGAGACTATAGCTGAAGCCTGAGGAGTTGCGGCTTTGTAACAGGGATGATAGATTGACTTTAGGCCCTAGGGTACATTAACAAAGGACCTGGCTGGTTCTCCACCCTTGCTTTCTAGCCATTCCTGTGAAGGAAAGCCAATGGCGAATCTTGCTTAGCAGATTCATTTGGATATCTGCACAATAACTCCAGTTGTAATCCCAACTAAAGAAGATCCATGGGGTCAAATCAACATTTATGTAAATGCCTCTTATTCAGTGGATTTCCATTTAGAATTGGATTTAACTCTTCCTGTCTGAAAGGATCTTCTAGTCTGCAGCCTCCTATGGACAATGATGAAGGATATTCCAGCATATTTTGGGAGCATAAAGTTTGGGAAAGATTTGCCTAGTTGATGCCCCAATGACTAGCTCTGTTCTCTTACCAGATGGGACAAACGAGTACAGTATTGGAGGTTCTTATTCTTCATACTAGTTATGACATTAAGCATTTCCATTGTGGAGAATAAGCCTTTGGTGCCTTCTGGGAGTGATGTGAGAAGTACATTAGGTGGATTGTTAGAGTTTTACAACCAGTAGATCAGTGGTCCTCAACCTTCCTAATGCCGCGACCCCTTAATACAGTTCCTCATGTTGTGGTGACCCCCAAACATAACCCTAACATTATGAATCGCCATGTAAATAATGATCTGCAGGATGTATTTTCATTCACTGGAGCAAATTTGGCACAAATACCCAGTATGCCCAAATTTGAATACTGGTGGGGTTGGCAGGGGGATTGATTTTGCCATTTGGGAGTTGTAGTTGCTGGGATTTATCATTAACCTGTAAACAAAGAGCATTCTGAACCCCACCAACAATGGAATTGAACCAAAGTTGGCACACAGAACTCCCATGACCAACAGAAAATACTGGAAGGGTTTGGTGGGCATTGACCTTGAGTTTGGGAGTTGAAGTTCACCTATATCCAGAGAGCACTCTAGACTCCAACAATGATGGATCTGGACCAAACTTGGCACTGATACTCAATATGCCCAAATGTGAACACTCATGAAGTTTTGGGGAAATAGATTTTGAGATTTGGGAGTTGTACTTGCTGGGATTTATAGTTCACCTACAATCAAGGAGCGTTTTGAACCCCAACAATGATAGAATTGGGCCAAACTTCCCACACAGAGACCCCCATGGCCAACAGAAAATAATGTGTTTTCTGATGGTCTTTGGCGACCCCTCTGACACCCCTTTGCGACCCCCCAGGGGTCCTGACCCCCAGGTTGAGAAACACTGCAGTAGATGAACATGAACCCCAGACAAAAATAACCACAGCATCAAACTAGTAGCCAATAGGAGCATTGTGTATAGGTTCCAAATTTTAGTCCTGACAAGTTAGAAGGGAGTCACTGCCAGTTCTGAAAATATAATAGACTTCAGTCTTTTTAACCAAATAGAAGGCCAGGAATGCCAAAATCACCTGCAAAAAGCAAGTTTTATATCACTGAAGTAGGTTACAGATAAAACCTGCTGATAAATTTTAAGGTAACCTAAGGTACCGTACAGGGACAAAAATAATGGGTTTTTAGAAAAAAGCAATGCTCTTTGGAATGGTAATAAAGCCTGTCTGGATGTATCAAAAAGTTCTGTAAGTAAAATGTCCAATAAATATGTGAAAAAGAGTGGGAATGAGAATATTTTCCTCCTTTTCTCCTTGAGTGCCCTTGTTGAGGTTTTTCTGCAGTTAGAAATGTCAAATGGATTACGTCTTCTCTCTCAAATGAAATAATCACGCTTTAATTAATGGTTGCAAAATATTACCTGCTGGCCCTTCAGGACAGGTTTTTGTCATTTGAGGTCTGCAAAAGTGAAAGATATTCTGGTTAAGGACAGCTGCCCAGTTGCCAGTCGGTTCCCTCACCATCTGCTCCGGAACGTGGCTGCAAGATGGCTTTGGCTCCTGGTGACAGGGACAGAGCAAGGGGAACCTGAAGTTCAATTTCTTCCTTTGCTCCTTTGCCTCCTAGTGAAGGTGCCACCCCCGAGCCACCTGAAGGTCACTGAGCTCTCCGGCAGTGAGGCCAGGCTGGATTGGGAAGCTTCGGCAGCCTCTGACGTGGTTGTCTACCAGGTCAAGTGGAATGTGGTTGGTGAAGAGAAGGCACAGGAGGTATGGCAACTTTTTGGGGGTGGGGTGCTGGTGGTTGTTTTGCTGGGACAGGCACACTCAGGAACTTGGCCATAATTGCCTCCTTGAAGACATTGAATGGCTGCTCCACTCCTAAAGCAAAACCTGTCCAAGAATGAAACGGTGAAGGTTGCACTGATTTAATTCCTTTAAAGGTGACTCTAAAAATAATTACATATTTACTTTTGTATAAGTTGAAAAGTTTTGGGGGCCAAAATTATGGATTTTGATGTCACTCCTTCCTGCTTAACATAAAAATATGCATTTTTTTCAAAATCAGAGAGGACTTGACACCATTCCTCACACCTGTTTCAATCGGTCATTGGCAGGGAAATTCTCATTTGGAATGATTAAGTAGTGCCAGAAAATCATGCAAATCTAAGGCTGGTTCTACATTGCCAAATAATCAGTTTGAACTGCATTATATATACAGTGTAAGACCACACAAGGCAAATCAATGTAGTTTAAACTGCATTATATGGTTCTGCACTGATCATATAATACAGTTTAAATGGCATTATTTGGCAGTGTAAAGCCAGCCTAAATGGATGATCAGTACAGTGAGAAAAAAGAGAAAGAAATACAGGTAAAATAGAAGTACTGGGTTTCTTGGGCTCACAATACAATCATGGTTTCAAGCAAATATATTTAGAAAATTGAATGAGTGAAAGAAATTAAGGATCTTTTGGAAAATAAATCAAACTACACGTAACCACTGCATTTGTAATTGATATCTGATCATCTAATGCTGGTTTAATTATTTTTTTATGTCAAGAGATCAACTCATGGCATCAAAGATGGCATCAGTATGGGTTTGGAAGTACTAACCTTTGCTGCCTTACCTTCTCTTTGTAAAAACCACCCAATTATGCAGAAGATTAGAAACCAATTGATCTTTTCCCTTTCGTCCACAGCTGTCTGTTGCTGGAAATTTGGCATCTTCCCTTTTGTCTGGTCTGAAGAAGAACACTGAATACCAGATATCAATTTGGGCATATTACAAAGATGGAGCTCGGAGTGATGTTGTCTCCATTCGACACAGGATCAGTAAGTGACCAGGATTGTGACAATTCTCATATGGAGAACTGGGAATGCTATGATAAGTGTTAAGCCATGAAATGCAATTAGGGGAAGGCTGTGATAATGTCTGGCAGCTGGATGTTGGATGAGAAAGGAGGAAAGTGCAAGCTTGGATCACTCTCCACTTGTTTCTATGCCTGGTCAGGTGCTGTAGTGAAAACCAAATCTGATGTATTTATTTATTTATTTATCGCATTTGTTGACCGCCGCTCTCAGCCCCAGGGCGACTCGCGGCGGTGTACAACATATATAAAAAACAGTTTACAAAGAACACACAATATCAACATCAACATATTACACATTAATATAAATCACACTAAACAAATCCGCACCGTCATAACACAGAATCATAGCCAGTCTCCTAATCCATAATCCGTTCCAAATTGTCATTTCCAGGTTCGTGTAGCTCTCAATTAAATGCCTGCTCGAATAGCCAGGTCTTTAGGCTTTTACGGAAAGCCATAAGGGAGGGCGCCTGTCTGATGTCAACGGGGAGGGCGTTCCACAGCCGGGGGGCCACCACTGAGAAGGCCCTCTCTCTCGTCCCCGCCAAACGTGCCTGTGAGGCAGGCGGGATCGAGAGAAGGGCCTCCCCAGACGATCTCAAGGCCCTCGTGGGCTCATAGGCCGAGATGCGGTCCGAAAGGTATTTTGGGCCGGAACCGTTTAGGGCTTTGTAGGATAACACCAGCACCTTAAATTGGGCCCGGTAGCAGATCGGCAGCCAGTGAAGCTGGGACAACAAGGGCGTTGTATGCTCCCTGCGTCCCGCTCCCGTTAGCAACATGGCTGCCGCACGCTGAACTAGTTGAAGCTTCCGGGCCGTCTTCAAGGGCAGCCCCACGTAGAGAGCGTTGCAGTAGTCAAGGCGGGATGTGACCAGAGCGTGTACCACCGTGGCCAAGTCAGACTTCCCAAGATACGGGCGCAGCTGGCGCACAAGCCGAAGCTGTGCAAATGCTCCCCTGGTCACCCCTGAAACCTGGGGATCCAGGCTCAAAGATGAATCCAGGGTCACACCCAAGCTGCGAACCTGCGCCTTCAAGGGGAGTGCGACCCCGTCCAGCACAGGCTGTAACCCTATACCCTGTAGCTTTTGCAATGTAGCTTTTGCAATGACTGTGTTGGTTAGAGGATTGACTAAACATGTGATACCTGAACGTGAAAATATACTTTTCTGCCCAGAAGCAAGTTTGTGAGTTTTCAGAGAAGCTTTGTCTGAGATAGAGGGTCTTGGCATAAATTTTTACGTAAACATCTTAAACACATGGAGCTGTTTTGTAGAGATGGAAGTCTTTGGGTATTTCATTCTTATTTTCACTCTTATTTCAAATTCCCTTCCCTGCAGGGTGGGATTATAAGAGTTTTGTGTATTTTGGAATGATTAAAAAACATTTTAAGACTTTTTGTGAAAAAAATGTGCAGAAAAAGTGGGAAAAACAATGTTTTTGCACAAAACTGCTTTTATTTACGATATTTATATTTATATATTTTTATACCACCCCTCTCAGTCCACAGACTACTCGGAGCACTTTATTTTATGCAAACTCTACCTTTTCTGTGCACTTTTTTTGCATATGTTATTTTTTCAAATATTTAAACAAGCCTATCATGTCTCCTCTCAACCTCTCTTCTGAGATAACTATAAATATAATAATAATCATAATAAATAATAACTTTATTTGTATTCCACCCTATCTCCCCAAGGGTACTCGGTGAATTCCAGCATATCAATGGCAAACATATAATGCCTACATAAAACTCATGATTCTAACATGAAATTCCAGAAAAACCCCACATATAAAAGTAATCTTAAAGCCTAACATCAAATTAAGATCAAACATCAGTAAATTAAACCTGACATTAATAAATTAAACTATACGTAATCAGACAAAAATCTATAATAACATAAATCTAAACAAAACACCCACATTATTGTACAACAGCCAGCAAGGGTTTACAAAACGGTATGGGTTGGTTATGTGGTCAAATGAGGTCACTGGGCTGGCGTAGACCAGGAGATCCCAAATACAAAAATTTCTCAACCAGAGGTCCGGGAGTGATCTCTCACCCATCTCTTCCTCCTCCTCTCCATATGCAAGTGAGTAGAAATAGGTATTCAGTTGTTTTTTAAAGGAGAGAAGGGAGAAGTGGGTAAGACATTAGGAAACTTTAGGACACTATTTAACTCCATCACCACTGCTAGTCCAATGTGGGCTAGGCAAAACTACAGTGAGGTGGATCTGTAATTGGTTAAATGGACGAACCCAGAGAGTGCTCACCAATGCTTCCTCTTCATCCTGGAAAGAAGTGACCGTCCTGGGCCCAGTTCTGTTCAACATCTTTATTAATGACTTAGATGAAGGGTTAGAAGGCAGGATCATCAAGTTTGCAGATGACACCAAAGTGGGAGGGAGAGCCAATACTCCAGAGGACAGGAGCAGGATTCAAAACGATCTTGACAGATTAGAGAGATGGGCCAAAACTAACAAAATGAAGTTCAACAGTGACAAATGCAAGATACTCCACTTTGGCAGGAAAAACGAAATGCCAAGATACAGAATGGGGGACAATGCCTGGCTCGAGAGCAGTACGTGTGAAAAAGATCTTGGAGTCCTCGTGGACAACAAGTTAAACATGAGCCAACAATGTGATGTGGCGGCAAAAAAAAAAGCCAATGGGATTTTGGCCTGCATCAATAGGAGCATAGTGTCTAGATCTAGGGAAGTAATGCTACCCCTCTATTCTGCTTTGGTTAGACCACACCTGGAATAGTGTCCAATTCTGGGCACCACAATTCAAGAGAGATATTGACAAGCTGGAATGTGTCCAGAGGAGGGCGACTAAAATGATCAAGTATCTGGAGAACAAGCCCTATGAGGAGCGGCTTAAGGAGCTGGGCATGTTTAGCCTGAAGAAGAGAAGGCTGAGTGGAGATATGATAGCCATGTATAAATATGTGAGAGGAAGCCACAGGGAGGAGGGAGCAAGCTTGTTTTCTGCTTCCCTGGAGACTAGGACGCAACAATGGCTTCAAACTACAAGAGAGGAGATTCCATCTGAACATGAGGAAGAACTTCCTGACTGTGAGAGCCGTTCAGCAATGGAACTCTCTGCCCTGGAGTGTGGTGGAGGCTCCTTCTTTGGAAGCTTTTAAACGGAGGCTGGATGGCCATTTGTCAGGGGTGATTTGAATGCAATATTCCTGCTTCTTGGCAGGGGGGTTGGACTGGATGGCCCATGAGTTCTCTTCCAACTCTTTGATTCTATGATTCTGTGATTCTGTAAGACACAGGTAACAGGCTGAACTTAGTTGCATTTCCCACATTTGAAAGTGAATATGGCTCCGAACATAATTTTAAATTTGAAACCTAGAGTGCAATATGACTTATGAAAAGAACACAATCAAACATGTTAGCAAAAGGTGTCCATTGGGAAAGTGTAGTGCATTTGACTAGTGCATATATATTCATGAAGTAACTTCATTGCTCTCTACTTTGTCTGAGTTAATGGAATAGACCTTTGAATACTGAAGTTTGTTGCTTGTGATGACACAGCAGTCTTCTGAGACAGGTAAGCAAGACTGTGTGAATGTGTTTAAGGTGCTGAGTCATGCTTCACAGCGGGGGCACTTTCGCAAATGAAAGAGAAGGTGCCAGAGAATCCTGCGTCAAGGTAGAAGCGGATTTTTCCTTGGTACAACAAAAGGATACGGGGTTAGAAAGGGTCCTCCCTGAAGGTTCTCTTTTAATTAACAGTTTCTGACTAATAGCTTTGTTGGCAGTGAGTGGAACACGATTCATTTAAGACCCATCCCCCTGTCCTTCTCATATAGCCACTTCTTTGAATTTTTGCCATTATTGAGGCTCCAATTACTAGCTGTCCTGGAATCAGCAGCAATTGTTTTGAATGATATCGATTTGTTGTTCATTCTGCTTTTGGGCTTTGTCTCTCAAAACAACTTGCAACAGATAAAAATAACAATTTATAAAAAGAACTTTTCTTAAAAAGGAAGGAGCTGATATACATACAGTCTGTAAGAGATAGCCACCTTGAGTCCCATTATTGGGAGAAAGATGGACTCGAAATGAATAAATTTATTTATTTTGGGTATTTTTACCCCACCCTTCTCAACACCCAGGGGGGACTCAGGGCGGCTTCCAGCCGACACATATTCGATACCTACAATTAAACACAATAAAATACACAACAAACAGTAATCTATCTATATATATATATATAAATGCTCTGTGCGTAATTAGTAACTTAAAAACAAAAGAACCAATTAACGAAATCACACCGAATTTGGCAACAAAACGTCTCGCAACACAAGGAATGACCATCACTCAAAAAATTATGATTTTGTCATTTGGGAGTTGCAGTTCCTGGGATTTATAGTTCACCTACAATCAAAGAGCATTCTGAACTCCACCAATGATGGAATTGAACCAGATGTGGCACACAGAACTCCCATGATCAACAGAAAATACTGGAAGGGTTTGGTGGGCATTGGTCTTGAGTTTGGGACTTGTAGTTCACCTATGGCCAGAGAGCACTGTGGACTCAAACAATGATGGAACCAAACTTGGCACGAATATTCCATATGCTCAAATATGAACCAGATGGAGTTTGGGGGAAATAGACCTTGACATTTGGGAATTGTAGTTACTGGGATTTATAGTTCATCTACAATCAAGGAGCATTCCAAACCCCACCAACGATGGAATTGGGCCAAACATCCCACACAGAACCCCCATGACCAACAGAAAATACTGTGTTTTCTGGTGGTCCTTGGTGACCGTTCTGACACCCCCCCAGGTGACCCCCCCTCCCGGGGTCTTGACTTTCCAGATTGAGAAATGCTGCCCTAAGGCCACCCAGTCCAACTCCCTTCACCAGGGCAAAAAAACATAACCAAAGCCCTCCTGACAAAGGGCCATCCAGCCATTCACACACACACATATAGG